GAAGTGAAGATTGGATGAAGGTCTGAGTAGTATAGCTGATGATGCAATTGCATGGTAAGCAGGAGTTGCAGTTTCAAGTCCTGCTCTGAGCTGATTCTTTTCTCTGGAAGAAAATAATGAAAATAGAGTTTAAATTAAAATTAAAAATTTATTTATAATTATTAAATTGATGGCTAAACTGGCCACTTAAAGCCAAATTACTTTCTTTTGAATTATTAATTGGCCTTAATGTAACCTGAAAAAATTCAGCAGATCATTTTAAATAAAAGAACTAAATATTAATAAAACTATGACGATTTCATTTTTACATGTAGTACATAAAACTGGCTTGTATTAAGTAATAAATAGTAAGAAAAAGTTTTTTGATTACAATCTTTTAAGAAAAAATTACTAAAAAGGCTGTTTTCATTACCTATGAANGAAGCGACACGCAATGGAGAAAAATTTCAACACGGGATAAATTAATATATTTTTTCGTACATAATTGGTTATCCGAAAAATAAGTTATCCGAACAACCCCAGTCCCCAATTGATTCGGATAAACGACGCTCTACTGTAATTATAAGGACGGAGTGAATGCTGATTGTACCGGGTTATTATCAATCATATATTTCCATGCTGTTGGTAAATTTGTGGCATCTTTATAGTTCAATCATTTGCTTGTAGTGCCTGATCTGTAGTAATGACTGGAGAAATTTGAAATATACAGATCAGGCACTGCAGGCAACTGTTTGAACTATAAACATGCCACAAATTTACCAACAGCATGGAAATATATGATTGATAATAACCCAGTATAATCAGCATGCACTCCATCCTTATAATTATGTTTATTGTATGGATATATATTTTTATTGCATTTCATGTTAATTTACTTTATTTATTTTGTTTTATTTTATGTTATTTACTTGGATCCATGTATTTAATTAGTTCTATTTATCTTTTATATTTTTGTATTTAAACGAATTGTTCAAACAGATATAGAAATTTGAATTTTGTTTCGCATAAACGTTCAAACCTGGAACCGGTGCAAAGAAATGTTCCAAGAATTTCAAAAATACCTGATGATGACCTGTGGAGCAGGTAGAAAACGTTTGTAGGATAATAAATATTACTTCTTGGAAGCATAAGGTGTTTGAGTCAAAATATTCAAAAAATTTGAGTGTTTATTGAAATATAAAATATGATTATCTACATAAACTGATTTCTTGGCCTGCTGATGTATTATATAATAATATTTCCTGTCATCACTACAAGATCCGAAGACAGCTGATGTGCGGCAATTGATCTGTAGTGTCATGCTTGCAGACACAGAAAACAGTCATCCTGAGTGATTGTGGCTCTTGGATGTCCACTTACTGGTCTTTATGACAATGTTCCTTTGCTTTGATATCAGTTCCAAATGTGGCAAATGATGGAATGATTGACATTTAGAACTCAGGCTACTTTCAATTGTTCTGTCCCCATTGAGATGCCCTATTGCCTGCCAGCACTAGACTATTCACAAGGTTTTTACTGGATTTGTTTAGATTTGTTTATTTTACTGTCCTAGTGATAATTTTTCCTGATACTTTCATTACTTTCATAATTTATTAAATTTAGAAAAGTAGCTTTGTTTTGTATGTTTAGAAATTGGTAGCATTATAAATAATTAACATAAAGCTAAATGTAATTTTATTTTTTTTTTTCTAGAAATGGAAAAAGTAGAAGATTGGAGTACTGCTGAAGTTTCTGTCTGGCTTGAAGAAAAAGGTTTTCATAATTATGTTGAATTGTTATGTGAACAACATAAAATTGATGGTAAAGCACTGCTTACTCTCACAGAAAATGACTTGAAGCAGCCTCCACTTGGGATGAAGGTTTGAAAAATTTTTTATTGATTTAAATAATGATAATGGCATACTTTAAATTTAATTACTTAGATTTTAAAGTTATCTGTAATCATTCAAATAATTAAAATGATTTTACTGTATTTGTCAGTCATAAATGAGACTAGGATGACTAGGCCCACTAAAAATCATATATTATATGAATTTTAGTGAACCTTAACTTATGAATTTTTAACTATTCCTATGATTTTTACTTCCTGTATGTCTTAGCCAAGTTTGAATCCTGAAGATTGAATATGGAATATTTTTGTATGCACTATAAATTTTTTACAGTATGATAATTTTTCATTCTAACTCATATAAAATGGCAATAATGTATCAACAATAGCAACAAAATAAATCACTCAGTTTGAGCATATGAAATAAAAATAAAATATGATTACTATGACTCAAACACCTTATGCTTCCGAGAAGTAATATTTATTATCCTACAAACGTTTTCTACCTGCTCCACATGTCATCATCAGGTATTTTTGAAATTCTTAGAACATTTCTTTGCACCGGTTCCAGGTTTGAACGTTTATGCGAAACAAAATTCAAATTTCTATATCCATTTGAACAATTCGTTTAAATACAAAAATATAAAAGATAAATAGAACTAATTAAATACATGGATCCAAGTAAATAACTTAAAATAAAACAAAATAAATAAAGTAAATTAACATAAAATGCAATAAAAATATATATCCATACAATAAACATACAGTAGAGCGTCGTTTATCCGAAGGTCGGTTATCTGAAACGTCTGTTATCCGAAGGAATTCCAGTCGACAAATTTAAATTTTTGCCACTGCTGTGGCGCTGTAATCTTTGGCTATGTCTTTGGCTACTCAAATATTTTACGTTTTTGATACTAAATTAACTTCTGAAGTATAATTTTTTATTGTTTTTATATTATTCAATAAATTTTTATTGTTCCTACAAAATGAAAAAATAACTTTTAACGATACAATAGTCTTCGTTAGGCTTAACATCGACGAAAATTCAACGCGAAGCGACACGCAACGGAGAAAAACATCAACACGGGATAAATTAATATATTTTTTCGTACATAATTGGTTATCCGAAAAATAAGTTATCCGAACAACCCCAGACCTCAATTGATTCGGATAAACGACGCTCTACTGTATTTGAGAAATGATCCTTGTTAGACAGGTTGTGATGACCCCGTGAAGTTGTGTAAGTTAACGTCCGAAAGACATGATATAAAACTTGATTGAATAAAATTATTTATTGTCACATAATCACAATTTCGGGCTGTAATTTTTAATTATATTTTTTATTTATTTAATTTAATTTAAAATATATTCTCCCTACCTGAAATTAATAGTGTCTTGTTTCTGTACATCACATTTCTTTTTAACAGTAGAGTCGTGCCGGTCATTTATCTAACACTCTTCAGAGGAATACGTTCGAAGTAAAATAACGTGTCTTTCGGTTTGTGTCAGAAATTCATATACTGTTAACTGGGACCTCCTGGCAATAGGGTTTCCTCACCTTTCCTNGCACGGTATAAATTCTTGAGCGGACGAACTTTGGAGGACGACTGACCTCGGGATCTTTTTTTTTTTCTCTTTCATTCCTCTTGGGGTTTTTCCCTGAGGTCAGATGATGGCTATTAACGGTCGCACGTCCAATATGTCTTCTCCATCAAAAGTTCCTGGTGACACATCCCTGACTAACTTGATCTGATTCAACAAGGAACAAACTCCGTGGGAAATAAGTTTTATGGCTTTTAGCCTAACGTTCGATTTTACTTGATTAAAGTTCCAATAAATAAAATTGAAAATAACACTTTACTGAGGGTTAGTTCGGCCCTCACAGCAACTAACTCAAATATTTTCTGGTATTTGTGAATAGTATTCATTCATATCTAGTTTTGAGCTATAAATTTATAAAATAAATTCCATCTTGCAATAAAAAATAAAAACACTGCAAAATTATGAAATTAAAAACGACTGAATTTTACCAGTTTTCGTTCTTTAAAAAATCAACTTTATTTGGTGTTTGTGTGCATGTATTGATATATAGCTCAATATGTTTATAAAATGGTAGTAAAGCTTTTATTTAATTTTTTTTATTCAATGGGATGCCACACCCTGGCAGGGCAAAAAAATCCTTAGTTAATTAATTTTCATTATAGACAGCTTTATAAAAGTATAAAAGCTCTCATAAAGTATTTTTCTGAGGTCTGTCTTATCAGGTAAATTACTGTACACAGTGTATTTATTAATTTTCATTTTCATGTAGTAAAGGCTCTATGCCTTCATAAAGGACGTACTTTTCCTTTGTTTAAGGGTATTTGGGCAGTTTATTCTCTGTTATATTCTCAAGTAAACAATACATACAAGTACAGTACAGTATTTTCTGAGGAAACACTCGTACTTATTTTTTTTAACCCCATTCCCAATAACCTGGCATTTTCACAAACTCGACCACCCTTCGGTCCACATTAGGCCGAGTTTTCAAGGTTCTACTGTATTGATTCTTTCTTCTGTTAATAATGTTAGCAATAACATTATAAATGATAAAAACAACATTGATAATGATGAGCACATGGAATTTTTAACGTGTGATAAGTTTAAATGAATAAAGACACATCAAAATGGATTTCATCATTGGATTTTCAATTTTCCACCAATTAGTGTTCATATCATTTTCTTTCATTTGAAATTTTAAAATTGTATTGAAGATGGTGACTTTCAAGATGACAGTGGGGTTTGACTACATGCCATAGGTATACTCATTGGTCTAATATATAATGGTAATGATTATATTTATCTAACATTAAATATTTTAAAGATGTTTGTGAGGTTTCTGACTTGCCATGTATTTTATGTGGTTATATATATATATAAGCTTGCTTGTTAATAAATTACAGATATATCAGTTTCTATTAGCAGTTGTGTATGCATGTTTTAATTTATAATTTTGCTATCTCAGTTTTGAATAGTTCACAGCAGAAATAAATAAGTAATTTTTTAATACTCTTTTCTGTTCTATTGTTTGTCATTAGCATAAATTATATTATTTAGTTTTAAAATTTTAACATTAAGATACTATAAATGTTATTAATGTTCTGTTAATTATAAAATATTATTTTCAAGTTAAAGCCTGAGGTTTGGAAAACTATCGTGGGTGTGTTATATTTTGTCGTTGTCACGTGGATAACTGCAATAGTTATGGTGATTGTACATGATCGAGTTCCTGATATGCAAACATATCCACCATTGCCGGACATATTCCTTGACAATGTACCACTTATTCCTTGGGCATTTGCAATTTGTGAATTTACTGGCGTCCTATTATTTATTATTTGGTGTTGCATTCTAATCTTCCATAAACACAGGTTAGTCTTAATATTGGAATTCTATATATTTAATAAAAACTTTTATTATTAAATGTTAATGTTTACTTTTATTTTATTAAGATTGTATTATTTTCCATTTTATTCAAAATTTTGAAGTATAAATTTAAAACATTATACTTTAAGTTATATTTGTTTTGTTGTGCTCAAATCCGTGGAAACAATTGAAGTTTAAATTTGTTAAGTATTCAAACTTTTTATATATTATTGTAATCTGAAGATGAATTTCAAAAAGTCAAACATTCAATTTATTGCTGGATTTTAATAGTTAAATAAAGTTTTTTTAAAATGTAGATCCAATGGGCTTTTTTATGCTTTTAGCAGTTCCTTTTGAACTATGTACATTCAATACAGACAGATTTGATAGTAATAATACATGGATCTGAGCTTTATTCAGAAACGCTAAGTAATAAATTATTATACATAGATAAATTTAAATATATTTCTTATTAAAAATCATATTTGAATATATTTGAATATAGAAACAAAATAATTTATGATTAACAATATCATCTGTAATAAATTTTATTAGATCATACGATTATTAGTAATTTTTTAAATATACAGAATATCAAAATTGCAGTTCTTACAAGAGAAGGTTAGCAATTACCAATACTTTTTTAAACAAAAAGTATATCATTTTATAGACATTGCCTCCCCAATAAACATACTAAATGTATATTTTCTACAAAATTTTATATTTCTATAAAAAATTCCAAAAAATTTTACCTGATTTAAATGTCATGACACAAAGAAACAACACCAATAGCCAAGATGTCTAGTTTGTTGTTTTTATATTTCAATTTGCAGAAGGTTGCAGTTTCAAGATTTATTATGATTTTTTTCTATATTTTTTGTTAATATTTTTATTCATTGTGTAAATTTATTTATTGTGTAAATTTAAATAAATTTACACAATAAATAAAAAATTTAAAAATTTTCCAATACTTTCATTAATTAATATGCATGTGTGTGCATAATAATGGAAAATTTGACAAGTTGTAGTAGTAGAAGTAGTAGTCCCTTTTGTCTAGAAAAGTACACAGTTTAAAATGAGCAGAATAATCTTTTTTATTGTCTTATTTACAAAAGAATAGCCACCTTCTGCTATTGGACTGTTTTCAGAAAACAGTTGAGGTGAGTCATTGACATTGGAAAGTCAAAGAAATGATTATTTTGACAGTGGAGAGGTAAAATTACCAGATAATCAAAGCACACGGTCAAAATTCATAATTCTATCAGTAAACAGTTGATAAAAAGATTATGTTGTTGCTAAAAAATGTACATTTATAAAGATAATTAAAATGCAATATTTATTAAAGTATGTTTCTTGTCTTTATATATTAATTTATTTGAAAATCCATGTGCAGTGTTGTTCTCACTAGATGTTAATTAATCCATTTGCTGTAATAAAATTATTTTAAAAGGCCATTACTTAAGATGGAAAACAGCCATTATGTGCATGGGTTAGTAATTTACACAATCTATAAAGATATTTAAGTCGAGAAACATGAAAAATATACATGGTAAAAAAGGATTGCCATAGCAAGTCTTAAAACAGCAGCTTTCTGCACATCAGAATGCAAACCAATGAACTAGATAATTTGCCATTGTTGCTGCTTATTAGTGTTTACATTAATTGTATCTTTTAAATAAGATAAAATCTTTTTATGGAAACAAAGAATTTTGTAGAAAGACCATCGGTATGTTTATCAGGAAGGTAATCACTATAACATGACGTCTCTCTCATTAAAAAGTGGCATTAATAATTTCCAACCTTCTCCTGATAGATATTTTAATACCTTTCCTCTTTATTCTACTTGTTAAGGAAGCTAACCTTGTTAAAAACTGTTCCATTCCATATTCTGGAAGTTTACAATGAATACACTTTTGGCTGATGTTGACTAGTATAAAATGATTCCTATTGACTTTATAGTTTTTAACAAGGTTTGCTTCCTTAACAAGCAAAATAAAAAAGATATATATTTTTATTTCAGGAAAATGTATTCATTCCTTTATACAAAAATATTTCTGAAAATTTTAAAATGATAATTTTTGAAGATTCTAAAATATTTTAATATCTGGGCAAACTATTTGTGTTAGTTTTCATTGAATTTTCTTCTTAAAAAATATTTTTCAAAATTAATTATGATAAACTTTTTTAGGTTTGTTTTATTACGACGTATGTTTTCCTTATTTGGCTCTGTGTTTCTACTTCGTTGTATAACAATGCTTATTACATCACTTTCTGTACCAGGAAGACATTTGGAATGTAAAGCAAGGGTACGGATTGTTTTTAGTAATGAGGTATTAGCTAATAAATTTTAATATTTAAAATTTATTGTTTTATTTGAAATAAAATAACTACTGTATTGCCTTAATTCTAAGACCCAATTTTACCTATTTTTACTTGACCAAAGTAGAGATACATTCTTGATTAGATGATGTCTTACATTTGCAGTCCAAAACAAGCAGCAGTCATTGCAAGTATTGATGTATTATTTGCCATTAATAAACATTTTTGGCTATACTATTAAATGATTACATCAGTTAAATGTACTTTTCTTGTAATAAACATTTCATTTAAACTATCTTGATGTTTAAAATATATTTATATTGTTTTTCTAACTTGTTCATTAACTTAAAATTGATTATTTAAAACTTTTTCCTTCATAAAAAAAATCTTAAAATTGGGTTTCAAACTCATGAATTGGCCTTAGAATTGAGGAAATATGGTATATTTTAAAATAAATTTACTAAAAATAGATATTTTTCTGACATATTGCTAAAAAGTTGCTAGATATGAATGTTATACGAGAAGTTGTAATTAATCTGAATTGAAGATAGTGTTTGTTATAAGATTACTTTTATGTATTAGCTATTCACTTTGCTTTAAAATTTGTTTCTTTGTATTTGTGGAAAGCAATGCTCCTAAGAATAATTAAAACCTACTCATTCAAGCAATAATAAAAGCATGAACCTAATAAATTATAATTAATAAAATACAAAAATATAAAAAAATGCAAATCCAAAATAAAAATTTACATAATTTAAAATGAAGGAAACTCAAATGAATTATTTTTTCAAGAATTTATAAAAATACAGTTGCCTAAAAAAAATTATTGTGAGAAGTGAAAATTACTATTAAAAAGAAAGAAAAAATCTCATTAATTATTGTTTATCAATGTCAGTTATTCATATGTCACTTTTCCAATAGTCTTATCTGTTTAATTATTCATTATCTATTAATTATGCATATCATTTCTTTATTTTAAATAACAACCATTGATAATTACAGTGCATGAAGTATGAAGCAGTTTTTATAGTTAATTGTTTATCGTGTTTTTTAGCACATAATCATGTAATTAGGCTAAATAAATGAAATTTGAGAGACCTAATCTTTACAAGTAAAATTATTTTCATTGTATGATATTTTTGCATTGTTTAAATAAGCATAATGCTTATTTTGGAGAATATTATTTCATCTTCCAGAAAAATTAATTAATAGCAATTTCAGATTTAAACTACAAAAATCTATATATCTTTTGTAGGGCTTTATATGATGATATAGTATGGAAGATGTCACATATACATAGGAATTTTTATAAGATGTTAACACAGATATAATAAAACTAAATGTAATAGTACAAATTGTTTTCAGTATTCATGTCTGTCATCTTTAGTATGAACACACACAAATTTTATAATCATCTGTTAAACATTTTGCTTGGCAGTTTATGAAGATTTTGAGTGCTTTATAAAAGAATGAAAAATATCAAGCCTCATATTGTCATCAAATATTTTGTCAGGTAGCATAAGATTCTAACAAAAATTAAAACTGACACGGATAATACTCAAGTGAATCATTTTTTACCATAAAAAATGTGGGTACTCTATTTAAACATGGCAGAGAAAGTTTGTAAGACTCAAAGTGGACAACTGTCAGTAGCAACAAATGAAAAAAAATTAACAAAATTTACAATATAGTGTTACAAGGGTATCAAATTAAAGTTTGCAAGATTGTTTAGAAAAATTTCATAAAATTAAAAGCAAAAAGTTTGAGAAAAGAGCAGGAATTGCCAAGAAAAAGATGCTGTTTTATCATGACAATGCATTAGGTCTTACAGCCACAATTGTGATGGCCAAATGCTTTGTGAATTTTGCTTTTAATTGTTGCTATATGCCCGATATTCACCTGATATGGTTGTGAGATTTTTCTCTTTAACCTAAAATTCAAAAATTTCTTGACTTGAAAAATTATCAGATGAAAAAGTTATTACAAAAGCAGATTTTTTTAGAACTGATGAATTAAATCATTGACTTAAAATATGATTGTTATTCATGGACAAATATTTAGAAATGATGATCAAGTTTCCATTCCAAATCCCTCTGTTCTATATGGATAAATTGAAAATATTTTCAGTTCTAAGTTCATCTAATCTAGAAGTTTTATATCTTGTTAAAAAATTATAAAAATGGCCATAAAAAATCAAAAATTAACTTAAATTTTATTCATTCTCTTCTTTTAGTAGCATCATTGCATAGAAATCTTAAACTTAAGTCTTCTCTAAAATTATAAGAAAACTAAGTGCAAAATTTGAATTAAAACTAGAAGGTTTTTATTCAAATTTTATAGTTTTGACTAACATTTCTATGATGTGACCAGAAATATTATCAAGATTATCATTTTTAAATATGATATTCATAGTACCTCTTATAAAAAAAACAGTAAGTTTATACTATTACAATAGCTTTAACATTTTCAATGATATTGTCTAAGATATAATTTAAAAATTTACAATAAGCTTATTCTATGAAATTTTATTAAGATTACTCTAATATTTGCAGGGAAAAACTTGGAATATTTTTACTTTTTATAATGTCTGAAAAATAATTTAAAAAAGAAATCATCACAATATTGTTTGAAATATTTATTAAAAGGATGCAATTCATGTAATATAAATTATTTTTTTACTGTTTAATGTTAATATTTATTTTTTAATTATTACAGAAAGTTTATATATTATGTAATTCAAGATAAATATAATTCAATCACCCATATTCATCATCAACTAATTTTTTCTTTTCACATTGTGTGCTTATTCAAAAAGAATTTAGTATATCTTTAAAATGATTTTTAAAAAATGATGTCAGTATGATGCAAATCTAGACGCCGATATAGTTTGGCAATTAATAATCTATACATTAAAATGTGCTCATGCTTAAATATTTAATATAGAAATTTTGATATGTTGTATTTTGTAGAAGATATCATATGGATTTCATTATTTTAAATTTCAATTACTTATGATGGTAAAAATTTATATGTACAGTAATACCCCGAACTTACACGATAGTTGGGACCGAGCGATAACTGCATAAGTCAAATTCGCGTAAATCGGGGTATAATTTCGCAGTTTGTGTAAAATCCAAGTCGAGTGTATGTAAGCTAATAAATGTTCCCGTTAATCTCATCTTGTCTTTTGATTTGTTCACGGTTACAAGAAATCACCACATACAGTCTCTCAAGTCTCCATAGATATAACAAACACAGAAATAAATAACACAAAATAAATTGTAGCTATGTGTCGATTCTGCGCTACATGTCCGAACATGTAAGCTGAACAATAGTGTGGGGGGAGTGAGTAATCAAGAGTTGTATGGTGCTCAAACAAAAGACGAATCAACGAGATTTGAAAATCGTGTAAGTCGAGGTATTACTGTATTTACAAATTATAAATTTTATACATTAGTACTCTAGAAAAACTGTAATTTCATGTAATTACATACAGTTATGATTTTGATGATGATAAAATGGATTTAAAAACTAAAGAAATTAATTAATTTTAAGTAAATTTTGTAAATTTAAAACATCTAAATTCAATTTTTAAAATAAATTTACTACTATTTGCTTTATGATACTTTAATTAAAACCAAACAATCTGCTGAATTAACAAGCTTTATTATAGCCCGATAATTTGGCAGATTGTCCTGCTTTAATTAGAAGTTTTAATAACATTATTTAAATAATTTTATTTTTTTTTATAAATACTTAAAATATTTTTGTAATAAAAAATGTGTGTTACTTTAACAACATAAAACAATTTGCTTTGTAACATGTTTAACATTTTAAGTGATTCTTTTTTTTTTTAAATTGAATATTATGGTAAATAAATAATTACATCTTACTTTCAGCCAAGTAGTAATTGGTGGGAGAAAATTCAGACAGCATTTTTAATTTGGCAAGGTGGAGGAATGTATATAAAAGGTGTTAGAACTTGTGGAGATTACATGTTTAGTGGTCATACTGTTGCTTTAACACTTTTTAACTTTTTTATTACTGAATGTAAGTTATGCATTTATATTATCATTATTAATTTTTTCATATTATAAAAGTTTATATGAACTTGTGTAAAAGTAATATCACTAGAAAAGCGTTTAAAGCACATAAAACCATATTAAAATATATACAAGTATNGTCAACCCCCCCTATAATACTGTTGATTTTTCCGTTTCATATGAATTCCATGTTGTACGAGTCACTTAGATTTTACAAATACGTGTGCCAGGTTGTGAACGGCTCACGTATTTGTAAAATCACCGTCACTGCGGAGGGCTATGCCGTCCGCAGTGAGCCGGGATGTGAACGGCTCACTGTGGACGGCATAGCCCTCCACAGTGAAGATCATAGACTCAGGATGGAGTGTGTACTGACTAAGCTGTGGTGATGTTTTTGGTGTCATATCATGGTTACATAGACACCAACAGTATGTTGGTGTCTATGTAACCATCAGTTGCTACTATGGTGTTAATACCTTGTTGGGCTTTCCATTCCTTGAAAGTTTGTTGGATGCACATCTGGGAGGTTAGTATTTTGAAAAGCTAGGTAGTTAAGATGGATGCTGTAGTTGGAGGTGTTACTGATTCTGAATGTTCTAGTCAGAAGATTGAAGGTTGTACATTGTGCTGTTGTGTGTTTTGAAGAATGGTATGGAAGAAGTAATCTGTAGTAACTTTCTTGACGTAAGTACTGTATTGTTTAATGATGCATTTGTGGAAATAGCGTTCAAGGGAAAAGTAACAGCTCAAACTTGCAGTGCCCCCTGCTTAAAGTGTCCATTTTAGTAGCAATAGAAATGAAACCAAATACCATTCATTGTTAGATTTCAATTATTGGAACAGAATTGCCGGCACATTGTCATAACACCATGTTACTAGGTTCGTAAATAAACCTAACATTTTGTATTTTTGCAGTATCTAATCTTTATATCTTAAAGGATTTTAAAGATAAAATAAAGTCCAATAACTTGAACCCACTATAATTCAATAACTGCCAAACCATTTTTTTTTCCTCTAGGGTAGGTTGACTATAACATTTACAGGCCAACAAGGGGGACATTTCAGAATCAGTGAAAGTGAGGTCTAAAACTGATTTTAAAATTACAGTAACCAAAGTTCAAAGTTTATTGATCTATAAATCAGTGATATTATATTGAAGTGTTAATAAAATTGCTCTATTTAAAGATTGATTATAGAATTAAATGTGAAACCCTGGAGTTGAGAAGGGATATTTTAATGTTTTAAATGAAGTTAATAGTTTTTAAATGTAATTTTAAATCAAGATGATACAAAAATTGTCTATCTATCTTTGTAAAAGGAAGTACAGTACTTCCTCTGAATCAGAGAGAGAAGCAATGTAGTTCCTTCAAAACATAGTTTAATTGAGTTTGATACCTCACTCTAGTCCCAAAAATGCCTGACTTCCTCATGTTGGAAGTATGGCGTGATATTAGAACTATACCATTGGTGGACCAAGGAGCATATAAAGGTGAAGGGCCACCTTCGAACAGTGCCAAATCGTTGATCTACCAAACTCGCTACTCCATCTCTAGATGTTAACGCTCTCAACACCATCATCTTGGATGTATGTAAACAGGTAAAAAATTGATAATTATTGTAAACTCTAAAATATTCAATAACTCGATTAGAGAGGTTAGATTGTAGAACCTTTCCATTTATTTTTATATAGTTATTCCTTTGACTAGTTCATTTAATTTTATCATTATGTATAGAATTATTTAGGTGTTCAAATATTTTTTGTTATAGGAAAGGAAAGATGGCCAATCTTTTCCCAATATCATTTTTTATTAATCCTGATCAGGTGTTCTGGATTTACCCTCACTATCTCTCTAAAATATCAAAAACTAGCAAAACCAGTGGCCGTCGGGTTACCTTACCTGCGGTCATTCTGTTGTCCTAAAACTCTTGATACTTCTTTCTCCAAAACGTACGTCTGTATCAGTATCTGGTGACCATATTTTTGGATTGAGGATGTCGAATAGGATTCTGCATTCCTCTACTTCATTCCTATTAATTTTTGTTGCGATACTTGGCAACAGCATCATCTCTACTTTCTTGCAATTGTCGTCAATAATTTAGTCGACACAATTAATGCCTAGCCACATGTTAATGTTTCAGTGGACTGAGTTTCAAACTTACATGAATATCTCTCAATGATGTTTTGTTCTAATCATGGCTTGTGCATATATTTTAATTATAACAATCAAATTTTATTTCATTATTAAATTGAGATATGAATTTCAAAATAATTATATAAGATTGTATCATTATTCTGTTTCTTTTTCAAATTATCCAAATCTCTCACAATATAATTTGGAAATTATATGGACAAATTTTGATTTATAAACGTCTAAGTAGCAAAATTTGAATTTATCCCATTATATATCTAGTCCTTAGATAAATATTCAGAAATCATTTTGTAATAAATTTAGGGGTTTAGATTTTTGTATGTTGACTTTCTGGAAAAAAAAAAAAATATTTGTGATGAATTTACTGTAAGCCCAATATATATTATTAATTTACTTGAACATTTCTGAGGAATATTTGTGCGCGTTGTCAATTGAAATGCCATCAGTTTTTTTTGGTTTGTTTTAAATTTTGGATGGTCCTGTAATGCTGACTTCACCTTTCAATTCTGTATTTGAAGATTCAGTCTTGTTTAGGGAAAGTACATATAAATAGTTATATTATTAATTTATGGAGCTTAACTAGGAAAAATCTGGATAACAGTGAGTTTAAACATGCAGAAAACTTTGCTTCAGATATCAAATGATAATCAATTTCAGCTAAAAACTGTTATTCTTAGGTGTTTCTCCCTATCCATATTACTTTTCCAGTTGTTATACATAAGAGGGAAAGTATTTGAAGTGTCCTGAGTCAAAAACTTCAAAATGTTGAGAAGTGCAAAAAAATTTGGTTCCGTTGTATGTGGGGGGCCCACTATTTTGTTCACCCTCTTTGAAACTTAACTCCTGTGCTTTTTGTTGAAATTTTGCAGGAAGATGAGTGACCCAGGGGATTAATGCTATTAAATTTTGGTGATTAAGTCCAACCCTATTGGAGATACATACGACCCCCTTTATCTCCCCACCTCTGACCTTTAATGACAATTTTACTTGTTATTAGCATTTATAAAACTCATCCCTAGTCTCAAAATTAAACAAAATGGCAAAAAAGCTTAAATACTTTTCCTGGATACATTTTATGGTGCCATCTGTTAGTTTAAAAAAAATCCAGCAACAAGTGGTGGTGATTATTCTTTCTTGAAAAGCAGGTAAACAAAATTTCTCATATTTAAATTTTATAGCTTAATTTTTATCATCATTGTATACTCAAATTATTTGACTTCCTTCCTGGTTCCCTTAACCTCCTATTTGAGTGCCAGGAAAGTCAAGCAATAGTTATTGCCAGCTTTTCAAATTTCTAAAAATTCTTTCATTAAAACAAAATCAGGATAGGAAGAAATCCTGTGACAACATTTTTAATTAAAGGATTTTAAGAAAATATACAGGGTGAGACATATGCATGTCCTGGCAGAAAAAATTAAATTAAAATGCAATTTTCTAAATGCTTGCCTTCAGATACAATCAAATTCTGTAGGTATTTATAAAATTAATCAACAGTTGGAATCAATTTTTTGCCAAAGTCCTTTCGTTGCATTTCTGATGTATCTCCAGTGGAGAACTTGCAGATTTTTAGGAGTGCAAATTTTATTTTCATTAAGGACTGTCCATAATACAAACTTCCTCGACATTTCAATGAGTCTGTATACTGCCTCCAGTGTGCAGACAGCTTTGGATGAACCAAGAAAATTATGAATCGGGACCAAATATTTGCTTGATGTCATCACATCAAGTGCCCTTCATCAAACTGTTCAGAACTAAGTAGTATTTGAGAGTTTATTCGTAACAACAGTATTTTCTCTCCAGTACATACATATTTCCCACTTTGTCCTCAATAAATTCTAAAAATCTCATGAGAATGATGATATAATTAGATAATATTGTACAATATTCAATGTGTGTACTTATGAACAACAAATTAAATATACAGTAGTTATTAAAGTAAAACTTTAAATTTAATTTTTCAAAATAAAATTTAAATTCTAACACGAAAATAAATTAACGATTTAACATTAAAATACAACTATAAATTATTAATTTAAAATGACTTGTAAATACAGTTTTCTATCAAAGGTTGTAGCATATTCTTTTCATATAATTCTTTGGTTTCACTTCCTCCACCGACACATTTTCCATTTATGAAAACTCTAGGAACCTGTATGAATAAATTATTTCCAGATTTTAATCATTACTGCTAAAAGAATTTATTTTAATAGTAAAATTAATATGATGATTCATATTTTATAGTTAAATCTCCAAGCAATTAAATTGTAAATTAAACATTTCCTCATGGAGATGCTATTTTTCATTTGTAATGAAATATGACAGAAAACCATTAGTCTAATGAACACATTAAGAATAAATGGAACTTTCCTAGTCCTTCAATGTATAGTTCTATTTTTAAGCTATTTTATAAGAATTTTCCTTAGACAATTGACAGACATTTCTACATACAACAGAGCATTATTAATCTGAAATAATCAGCTGGACATTACTGTGATCAGTTATTTGAAAGAATAAACAATACCTTAAAATAAGTGTTTTAATTCTGGTACAAGAGTAAAAAAGATTATGAATGTGTGTAAAATTTTTATGCCTTAAACTTGATTAGAAATAGTCTTTCCTTGAAATCTAAAATATACTGACGAAACTTTGAATTCAAAACAAATATACACAAAATAGCAAAATTAATAATGGGACTATAGAAGATCGATTGCTATTACATAAAAATGTAATTTCTGGAATTAATATCTCTGAAGTCAAATTCACTTAATTGATGATCTACTGTATAGAAATAAATGCATGGATGATATTAAATAAAAAAACATACAAAATATTTTGTATGTTTTTTTATTTAATAAGTCAGACAAATTAAAATGATAGCTTTTTGGAACATCCTTTATCCATGCACTTTTATCATCATTAAATAATTAAAAATCATGTACTTAACCTGTTTTCATTAAATTGAAATCTTAATTTTAGTAGTTCTTTTTAAAAAGAACAACAATTCTTATTCTAAAATGTAAACTAAACAGAAAACATTCAAATCTTATTTTTTATTAATGATAACTTAGATATAGCACAGACAAAAATTTTTGTCATCAAATTTTGAAATATCTTACACACTAGTAAGATAACTAAAAACAAAATTACAACTCGTCAGTAGAGGTTTTTTATAGAAATGGGATAATCAATTATTTTTGTTTTAATCCTCGTATCTAGCAACCTCTAATATACTTTGGAATGTACTTTTTTATTTACAGTATGTATCAGAAAAACTTGTGATTTTCATATCTTTTGTCTAAGATATAGCCAAAATTACAACTGCTCTAATGGAAGCCACATGAAAGAATAGAAATAGAACCACCTCATTAATCTTGCCTGTATATAAGATGTTTCCAGTTGAGACACACACCCCACATAAAAATTACTTCGTTACTTTTCATCTTTAAACCAAGAACTTCTAATATTTCTTTAAGTCTCATCAACAAGATGCAAATCCATGGATCTATGTCTCGTCTCTAAAATCGTGCTGCTGTCAATGGCTGCACACCTTAGAGGCATGAAGGAGTGAGTACATGTCAAGAGTTACAATTTGGCACAGAGTATTTGGTGCCCAAATCATGCATGCACAAAATAAACCAGACTTGTAGGTAGTAAGAGAAGCTGAATTCTTCACATTTATGACAAGTGCACATACCTTACCCATGGCATGAATGTATCTATAATAAATACCTGACTTTAAATCTAAGATTTAAATATTCAAACAATTACTACTAACCAAACTCACTGAAGCATTTCTTAGCTAAAATAATCTTTTTTAGAATTATCACTAAGATATATTTCAAAATTGTTTAATTATGACATACTATAAAAAAAAAAAGGTACTTACAGTGTGTGCTCCAGTCATTTTACGAAATACTCTCTGTACCTCTTCAACATCACTACGTTTACTTATATCTACTGTTTTATATGGAGCACCTAGTTTATCAAAGATCTAAAATGAAGAAAATATATATAAATTTCAATATTTATACAATCTGAAAACTTGAACTGAATGAACTGTGTATAAAGAATGAATTTTTAATAATTGTAATATTACAGCAATATTTTGATACATCACCTAACCCACGATCTACATGATAGATTGTTCTTATAATGAACCAATCACGTAAATTCAAAATCTATATTTATGATTTAGGAATACAAAACAGAGCTTTGGAACAAAGATAAAAAGAATTTATCTTCTTCCTACCTCAAATCCAGATTTTCTAATTCGTTTACAGGTACAAGTAATCTTTGGATTTTAAGGTAATATCACCAATAAGTTCTATATTTTATTGAATTTTAAAAATAAATTTCTTGATATTAAGCAAAGTAATGTATAAAGTGTAAATTTGGCACACATACATCAAGGAGAATCCAGTCTTTGCACTAAATTGAAAATAGCACCAACACAATTATACCAATATAATAGTAAAAAAAAAATGAATGTTTAGACTTAAAATACTGAATATTTCTTCATTGCTAACTTAAGGTGCTTTGGTTAACTTTACAGCCCTGACTAACCCAATTGAAAACCTATGGGCTATTTTGAAGAAAAAGGTCACAAAAGCCCTTCCTGTACTAAAGAGGAATTGAAAGTTGCAATTCAGTAATCCTGCTTTGAAATAAATCTGCTGAGGTGTGTCAATATTAATTCAACAAATGTCACTGCAGATCAAGACTACTGTATTTTGAAAGCAAAAGGAAGTCCAACCAGATTTTAGGAAAGATGGTCTAATAATTGTCTTTGATTTGTTTTTCTTTATAACGAAACATGCAACAAACAATGCATTAAAATATTATACAAATCTCTACAGACATTGAATTATTGTTTATTATTAACCCTCCAGGGATTGGAATCTCTCACCCACACAATGTGACTCTTCTAATAAAACTTAGAAATGTAGAAAAAAAAAATATGAAAATATTCCTAACTTTTCAGTGGAGGACATGCACCATAAACATTTTTACTGCAAATACCTTTCAAGGGGAGGGGAAATGCATCTGACACAATATGCCTTCTCACATATGAAAAAATTAGTGAAAAATTGCACAGGCACAACTCTTGGAGTGTCACACAAAATGAGTGCAATTCAACACAATAGCAATTTAAAATGAATATATCTTTACAAAAATAAAATTCCTTGTATTCTCTTCTCTCCCTTCATCTCTGGACCACAAAAATGAATTCCAATTCATTTCAAACAGACCATTGAATTTATTTGTGATAACATGTCTTGTCACACAACTAAGTGCAACAAAAATATAAAAATTAATTTTGATAATATAAACTGAATTTTTGATGGTCCACAGATTTATTTTTGATTACTTCATTCCTTATATAGAAAACATTCATAGTTAAACAACAAAAGTTGATACTTTCTGTAATATTTTGAGGATTATGGGAGTCACTGATTTGTCACTGATAATGGCTAAAAAACAGATTTATTTGTAAGAAAATGATTCATTGATTAGTATTTCTTAAGTAATACATTGATTTGATAGCATTACCTAGTATTAATTTTTTCCAAGGCTATTTTAGCACTATCAATTTTATAAACAGACAATTCAATAAAAAAAAAGTGTCACAAATTACAAAAACAGCTTCAAGATGGACTTTAAACTATTTTAGCAATTCATGGTTATGTACATTGTATTTTTTTTTTTATTAGATGATCATAATTAACCTTTCAACAGTGGAATAGTCAGGTATGGTGCTACCCCTTAGTAGTGGAGAATAAATGTGCAAAATTTTTAGAGTATTTTTCTGTGTGTTTTTTCTCATTACTATTTCAGAAAAAGATTTTGAAAACAGTTATGTCCAGTAGACAAGTCTTTTTTTTATTGTTACATAATTCATTTTTTATGTGAATTTTTTTTATTGCGGTAGTTTTAGGCTAGTTTTAGCAATACCCCCCAAAAGAATTTGACGTATATATTTGTCCCTCGCCACTGCCACAAGATCGCCCTTGACGAATATATTTGTCGCTCACTACTGAGTGGTTAAAATATGTCTATTCAACGCTGTCTAGAGAAATACTTAGTACAAATATAACCAAAATCTGGTATAATGACATTTGAAGACTTGTAGAAGACATTTTTGTAAAAGAAAATCAGACAGGTGAACCAGTCTCATATATAGTATAGCTATTGAAATTAAACTGTTAATTTAAATCAAAAACTTTTCAAAAAAATAAATAAACCATTAGTTTATACAAGTTTAGTCTAAAGTGAGCTACTAATTTAAAAAATTTTGCAAAATCAATGTTTAAAACAATATCTGGAAAAAATTTATACTATAATTTTAAAATTTTATATAGACGAGATACAGTGGTGCCTCGTATAACGGACGCTGCGAACAATGGACTTTCTGAAGAAAATAATAAATATTAACATGGCCGACGGTATTACATTTAATAAAATATAAAAATATAAAATTACAACGTTTAACAATACTTTGTTTCCGTTTGTTCATCCGTCGTTCGCTCCAGTTGACAGTCCACAAAAATTACAATCACGGAGGCGACCTTTCTTTAGAGGCTGCTGCCTCCGCAATAAAATGCAAATATGGTTAAAAACGTCCTCTGGTGCTATTGCCACTTTCACAAAAATTCATTTTGAAGAAAATAATAAATATTAACATGGCCGACGGTATTACATTTAATAAAATATAAAAATATAAAATTACAACGTTTAACAATACTTTGTTTCCGNACAGAGCTGTCATCCTCCAAGCAATGGGATTTCGATTAGAGCTCGGAAGAGTTTTGAAGATTCTTCCAAGCTCGAATCAAAACCCCCATAAAAAAAAAGCAAGTACTGGTATTGGCAACCGTTTAACAATGATTGGTTTACAGATCCCGAGTATAGAATTTGATCGAAAAAGATCCCAAAGATATATGTTTTGAGAGGTACACAATTTTGAAAAACGTTAACAAAATATCGTTTTTGGCTGATAAGGCTACTTAAAAGCATAAAGCTAATTATTCTATTAGAAAAAGTTCTTGCACGATCAAGTTTCTTCCATCTTCAGAACCTCCAGTAATAAGTAATGACAAAAACAGTAGTAGTGTGACTGTATTTATGGACATCATTTGCTTTTACAACAAGCAGACCATCTAACAGAGTAATGAGAAAAATGTTCCCAGATAGTACTATAGCAAAGTCATTGATAACACGTACCAAAGCCCGGTATGTCATGCAGGAGAACATTGTATTAAGAAGAAAAGAATAAAATCTCAAAGATATGTCAAAAATTTTGTTTTACAGTAGCTTAGGTCATTGCTGTTGTTGCTTAGATATTTTGACACAGGCAGATGTAAAGTTTTGGATCACTGTTAGCAGAGCCGGCCCTACCATAGGGCGAACGGAGTAGCCGCTCCAGGCGCCAAGTCTTGGGGGGGCGCCTCAGTGGTAAAGAAAATTAAAGAGTATAAATTAGGGGCAATCAAGGGGGGCGCCGTAATAGGATCTCGCCCCATCCTAAAACTTGCCTCGAGCCGGCACTGACTGTTAGATGCTAGTGAAGAAGATTCTTGTGAAGCAGGACATTTGTCATTTGTGGTGCAGTCAGACATTATGTTCTACAGCAGTGTTTTTCAACCTGTGGGTCGCGACCCCCAGGGGGGTCATAAAGTCTTACACGGGGGTCGCGGGTAAAAGAAAAAGACAAGTGTTTGTAGGTCCTACACTACATTAAAAAAAACTACAATTTCAGCAAGAAGGCTGTACCTGTTTATTATACAGTACAATTGGTTTTTTGATCGACATTCAGGTCTCAACAATGGGTGTAGCCAGAGATGGGCCTGGGTGGGTACGGGCCACCGCAGAAAATGATAGCCGTAAAAAGTGTTGAGCTGACTTGCAAAAAGAAGTAATAAGTAGAAAAGTAGAAGTTGGAAATTCTCATCCTAAAAAAAAGTCAACAGCATCCGAGCCCAATGTTATAATGAAAAGGAAGTTTCATACGTTGTGTGTCTTAAGTTATTGTCGATTCTTCTCAAATTCTCGTTTTAATCAACAATAATTTTTCTCAACAGAAAGAAAATTAAATATATAGTTTTTAAAATCACTGATATAGTTTTAATATGGCCCTAGGGGGGGGTCGCCAGAATTTTTTAACTTGTAAAGGGGTCGCATATTCAAAAAGGTTGAAAAACACTGTTCTACAGGAAATATGGACTCTTCTAATATCTCAAAACACACTAGAAATCCAGTAAAAATATAGACTAATTTTAGAGTAATAAAAATAGCTATGGTGTTTAATTTAAACACGCAGTATATAACGAAAATAACTTTCAATTGTTTTGTTTTAAATTTAGAAAAATTCTTGGAGTTGCTTACCTTAATTCAGTCATGGGTCCCCAGTGGTAAGTTCTTCCACCTCGGCCATCAAAGGGAATGTTAAATTATTCACTGTAGCGAGAGTTCACTACACACAAAAAATAGCAAGGACTGACAAAATTTGTTTACTATATTGAGTGCCCGCAATATGAAAAAGTTCACTGTATATTCACATTTGAAAACATTAACCCCAAAAACAATTATAAAATGCAATGTATTATTTGTAGAGCGTACAGTAATATTTAATATGATGATCCATCAGCTATTACGAGTCATGTGTAAGGGCTGTATTTACACATGCATCTTTCTTTTTCTTAAATGCTATGGTATTAAAATCTCAATATGAACACGATTTGGGTCCAACTAGATCAAATTAAGGTTGTCTGATAATGCATATCCTACGTGCACTATCAGACAAAGAAATGGGAAATGGACAAAAGTGCAATTTTTTTTTTAATGATCTACAGCTGTTTCTGCTGTATATGCAGTAAATCTCTCTTGAGTATGTACTGTTAATGTGAGAAATATCATCCCATCATCCAATTACAAATAAACACCCAAAATTTCCAGGAATTTTGGGCATTTATCTGTAATTGGATCATTCCTGTGAAATGTAATTCCCAGGATTATTTACATATTAATACTGTAAATTGACCATACAAAAAATTTGTATGGTCACTACAGCATTAATATAGAAATACAGAAAAAGGATTCAATTGGCCCAAAATTTTTTGTATGATTATTACAGTGTTAATATATTAATTAAAAATATACTACTTTAGACCAGTGATGAACCTATGGGACAATAGAAACTAGGTTAAATCATCTAAACAATTGAATACAAATAAATTAATTAATGATTGATTAGAAAGAAATTATAAAATTTTATTCGTAATTGACTTGATTGCGCACCTCCTACACAAAACATTATTCTAATACGTTTAGTGACGTCAATAGATCTACCATTTTTAAATACATACGTAAGTGTACATATTGTGATTTTAAATGCATTTAAATCTGGCCCTCAAGCATATAAAATCAAAAAAAAAAATGATGCAAGATTTTCAATCCCTCAAATTCAAAGGAAATAACAGTAATCAATTTTCAGATTCAGAACAAAAATATATCCAAGTGTCTCAGAGAAAAATTCCTAAATCAAGTTTTTATGTAATAACTAAAAAATTGTGATGTATTTTCTAAGAAATCCAAGCAATGACAAACAGTATCAAGCATATCTGAGTTAATTAACCATAAACATTTTTGAGAACTGATTAACTTTGAACTTGGTTACTTCATAGCAAAAGACTGATTATCATCATCTTCATTACCTGGCCACTATATTTGTTAACTATTTATAAAGAATGGTAAATCATATAACAGTATATAAATTACTTTTTATGTAGGAAATACTGTGTAAAAAATTCTAAATGAAAAGATACAAATATTATTTAGTAATTCTTAAAAATAAAATAAATTGATTGAATATAACATGATAGATTGTCTTCCATCATTATGCATAAAATTTACCAAAAAGGGACTTTATCATGATATAAATGAAACAATATCTTCATAATTATACAGTTTAAATTGAAAGATTATGAAATTGACATAACTCTTTTAAAGCTAAATTCTAACTGAATATAGTGGTATTTGTTAACATTTATCACCAAAAGAATAATTTATGTAGATTATTACAGTAATAAACACAATATTTTCCTTATACTTTTCCAGGAATAATATTTAATAAATATCAAACGTTTTTTCTCTCTTTTAGGGAATGCTCACTGAATTGTTCTATTTAAAATAGCATAAAACCTGAAACATGCTCCTAAAAGAGACCATAAACATCTGTGGTTCATTAAAGATTATTGTTGGAAAGGTGTAAGGAAGGTATGGTTTATTACTGCAACAAAAGATCCATCATTGGAGAATTTATCATAGATTATTACATTGAATATTACGTTATTTATTCTGAAATTTGAGGATTATGGTTATTGTTTGTGGCAGTGGTTCTTAACCAGTGTTCCACAAACCTACCTTGAGTGTTCCATGAAAGAAAAGATTTTAAAGATTTTATTCAAATTTATTCCCATTGCAATATTCATAGATAATTCCATATTTCTATTTTATTCAATATATTCAAGTTTATTAGTTTATTGCTTCATTATTTCCTGAGAATAGTAAACATGAAATTGCTTATCAATTTTTGAATGTATTGATGGTAATTCTCCTTTAGTAAGAAGTATATGAATGGTGTTCCATGCCTCAGGAAGGTTGAGAACTACTGGTTTATGGAGATCAGTTAGCAGGAAAAGCAGAACTTTCCTTTGCATCAATAGAGATATTATGGACACTTTGAACATTAGAATTGCATGTTATCTACATTATTACCTACTTGTTATTAAAAAAAATGTTTATTATAATATTACTTTTCAAGACACTTGAATTGTTTTATATTTGTATTATAACTTACTAGCATACTAAGTATAATAATTTCATAACAGTTTTAAGATTCTTAGTTTGTTGAAGTAAAAGTTAGAGTAGAATTACTCAATTGCATTTAAAAAATCCAATACATTTATTTAAATACAAGTTAAAGTTATTTTTAAATCAATTTTATTGAAAACTTTAACAAATTTTTTGTGTTTGAATAATTTTAGTACTATTTAACTTGATACATGAAGCGTAAGCTGTAATTGTGATAATTACAAAAAGAAAAAATTTATTATAGCAACAATTCACAGTACACACATTTTCATGTGAATCTTTAATATAAATTAATGTATGTATAAATATGTCACCTTTTATCAATTTTTCTCAGTTTATTTTAGTAATAAATAACATTAGCACCTTTTAAATTATTTTGGAATGAAGCATTTTTAGATCATTTAAATTTACAAGAAGTGAAATTTCTTCAGGTTCTTTGTTGACTTTTGAACCATCGTTTTGACATAATTGCACTCTTCCTACAAACTGTTTGCTGTCTTGTAATGTCTAAACATTTTGTATAAAGTTAAAAATAATTATACAACTCATAATTAAAACACACAACAAATTATAGTATAAGATCTTACTTTAGCTACAGCTGGATCAGGAAATGTAGCAAAATCACCATAAACATTACCGTGTCCTCGATGAGAGGCAACTAACTTTGTTACTTCGCATTGCAACTAGAGAGACAAAAGATGTTTATTACAGATTTTAAAATATTTTGTAAATTTTTAAATTTCCTTAAAATTAATTGAATAGTGATAATCACAAATCTATACTTTTGATTGCAAAAATTATTTATATTATTTTAAATGTAAGATTTAAAAAGCATGATATAAATATGTGTATATGTACAAAGTACTTTATTAAAAATAAAAATACCACACTGAAAGGATGATTGAAAAGACACATGATAAATCAAAATCATGAGATACATATAAGCCACTTTGGGCATGTGTGCCATAGGTTTGCCACTCCTGCTCTATGCCAAATTACTTGACATTTAATTAGTAATTAGTAGCATTAATATAGCCCGATGTAATCCTGAAGTCATTTGGCATAAATGAATGTACAGTGTGCATGCAATAGAAAAACTTTATTTTTTTTTTTTTTATGTGTGTGTGGTAATTTTTTTTGTATTACCTGGTAATATATAAGAAAACAGATATATTTATATATATACCCTGCAGTTCATTTCAAACTGGTTGTTCAAACTTCAGGGTCATCAAAAATCTAGAACTTGTTGTCCATTGGACAATTAGCATATTCTCTTGATTTCTAAACTTGAAATATTATAGATGTTTTTTGATGTAAAAGTAAGACCACATTTAAAAAGTATCATGTAATCAAGAGATGAGTGCATATACATGAGCAGTATTATATAGGTTTATGCTTGGTTTTGAGAACTGTATCTCTTTAATACCTTTCTTTTTACTTATAAATGTATCAAATGTAAATTGAAATAAATTATTTCATTGAACGATTTTCCAAAAACCATGCAGACTCAAAAAGGTTTGCCACCCCTGGCCTAGAGATAAGCATTAGATGCCAAATTACTAATTAAATGTCAAGTAATTACTAGAATTAAAACCCAATGCAATCCAGCAATTGTATATATAAAATCCTGAACATCCTGGCAACATACAAGGTGTTTATTTACAGTAGATGCTAATGTAGAAAAATAGAGTATAAATTCTTATTGGATGTTAATAGTTTGCTTTTTGTTCATATTCTGATTGTGTTATACTACTTTGACTATAAGACCAATAAAAACAGACTAATCACACTTTGGTTACTGATTCATTGATACATTTATACTATTGCTAAACCAAAATGAATTTTGACAGTATGGTCATATTCAGTCAGCTACAATGTAATAAACATGATTATTACCAAAACAACAGATTTAGCATGTATATTTTAATACATGATCATACTGTCAAAATTCATTTTTATTGCTATTGTAATTATTGCTATTATTTATTAATTTATTGCTATTGTAATTATTGCTAAAATAACAGATTTAACATGATTAGGGTGCCCTAGCAACTCTAATGTTTTTATAGAATATGCATTATAAAATATTTTTGAAAAAAGATGGCCAAATATAAACAATGCAAAACTCTTCACCAGTGATCCGATGTGTACTTCTTAATTATACTAACATATACCCTGGATATAAATCACTTCATTTAACTTTTATTACAAATATTAAAATTTTCTTGGCTTCTACAGTCACTCAATGAAACTAATGCCTTATATCAGTGTTTCTCAATCTTTTTTGACCTTTGGCCTCTTTTGAGCTTAATATTTTTCTGTGGCTTTCTCATGATAGTAAGTCATTTTGAAAAATTTTGCATTTCAGATATTGTTACCATTAAATCATGTAACTTTCAATCTTCAAATTCAAAACATGTGTACATATATAATTGTTATTTTTTAAAATACTTAGATTTATCTCCACACTGAAATTTATGCCAATTTCAGAGAGGAACAATTGGTGGCACTAAAGAAATTTCATGGTATTTGCACTGTATATACCTACATGCCATAAACCTATATTTAATATTAAACATTCTTTGATAAAAAAATAAAAACAACATGCTTTGCATACACATGCAAGATTCATTATGTCTTTGTTTATAAAAAAAAACAAATGTATGAATATTGCCTGATAACAAATACAACATTTCAGGTTCAAAATTTCCCTATCAAATTTAGTTTTGTATTTTATTTAAACAAAGTACTTTAAAAATTTATACATTTCTCTAATAATTTATTTATTGAAGTTTGTTTTCATATAATTTTACTATTTTATTCTGACTGTGGCCCTCTAAGAGTTTGCTCTGGCTCCCCAAAAGTCAATTTTTATCCAGTGGCTTCCTTGAAATATTCTATGACCCCAAGAGAGTAGTATTTCTCAACATGGTTTCCAGTTGAGAAACACTGCCTTATATTATGTCATTTCTGCTTATGTAATTTTTAGATAATTATACTAGGACTTATTCAATTCTCATCCTAAATTATCATTAATTTTATTATTTGCTTTTTTTATTTCTATATGTTCATATAACTGTCTCATAAACATTATCTCCTTTTCTTACAATTATTACAGTATTCAATTTAATCTCACAAGCTTGTTCATTGTAGTATCTTGTAACCAAAGTTACAATAGTTACAATAATTATATTTTATGGTTCATGCTCTGCAATTCTAACTTTCAATTTTCTGCCTGTTTCTCTAGTATAAATGTAACTATTATTACAAAAAAAAATTTTATTCAAACTGAAATAAAATTTGTAATTTAAATACAATGAGAGAAAAAATTAATTAATATGATACAATATAACAACACCAAATCAAATAAAAGTCATTAAAATATAAGTGTTCTATAGTTCATACAAATGACTATTACTAAATTACTGATATTTTTCCTCCAGTTGCCAATGCTTAATTTTCTCATTGAAAGTAAAATTAAAAGACAAAGTTTATTGGAAATAAGAATGTAGACTAACCAATCTATCATATTTATTGAAATGACTAAATCAGTGGACTAAAATAAGCCATTTCTCAACTGTAATTCTTTTCCAATTATGTTCTCAACATTACCATATTGTTTAATTTCATTTATTATGGTACTACAATTTCTTTCATGGTTAATTTGATTTTTTTTTTAAAATATGAAATAATCATAATTACTTTTCATATTAAATAATGTTATAAAAATTAACAATATTAATTAAATAATTTCTTATTAATAATATCCTTATTTTTAATAACATGCTTAATATTGTTTGCTTTACTTTATTAATATTTTCAATAATTAATGGAATAATAATTTAATGTAAAATTTATATTGATTAAATTTTGTTTAAAACATTGCTTGTTCATACAAAACTATTTGAAGCAGAGCATTAATGAAGTCTTTTCTACGTGGCTTATAGAATTGTATTCATTCTCAAAATCTGATTAATCAATTTTGGTAAAACTTTGCTCTTTTATATTAATTGCATTGAGGAATCCAAAAATGTAATAAAAAGTGAGTGTCTATGATTTCATTTTCAAGATACGGTGGGAGCAAAGTGACAGTTTCCAAGGTTGCTAGCACAAGCATGTGAAATTTTTATTCTTTTTTTTATGCTAGCAGCAATACCATTGTTGTGGTAGCAGCAAGTGATCATTACACATCCTCCTGAAACATTATTATTGACTTGCTAGCAGTTTTACTCAATTCTTTGTTGGTGTTTGGACAGAAAACAAGCTGTGCCTAGTTGCTCTCTATTACTTACTAACCGTGCAATAGAAACTGCCTTTTTTTACATTTCAGTACTCATTCATTCTATTAAGGCATCAGATTTTGAATATTGAATATTGGGAAGAATGAAAATACTTCCTTATATATGAAAAACTTTTTGCAATTTATTACATCCTAATGTAGAATAGCTTTTTAAATAAACTTACATTTTCAACCTCTTTCTGGAACTTTCTTAGTACTGAAAGTGATTCAACAAGATGATTTACTGGTGCAATCTTCTGAATTGATGGTTGAGTGCCTGCTTTCCTTTTAGTAATATCAACTAATGTTGGACATGCAGTCAAGTCATTCAACTCCTAAAAAAATAAAGTTTTATAATGGTATTTAAAAAATTCTTAATAAATTTAATGAGTAAAACAATGTAATAACATAATGATCAATATAAAGAAGAATCATCTTTAAGTAAATTTAAGTTTTATAAATGACAAATATATTATAAAACAGTAGTAAAGTATTCTTTAAGAAAGAAATTTTATCATGAATGTAAGAAAAACCTGAAATAATGAAATAAAAATGCATTGTATTTTGCAAATATTCATAAAAATTTTAATGACTAACTTTCAATAAATTAGAAGATCTCTTAGCAAGATGGGCTAATTTTTTATCTGTACTGTTTTCTAAATCCATCATATTTGTAAACCCAGTTTGATTAGCAATTCCAGTTTGCTTTGAAGGCATCTTCAAAGGTGGAAGCTTTGATAACTGATCCTAAAATAATAGCAAATAGATATATTATTTGAAAAAGACTATTTCTAAAAATATATTTACAATCAATATATAACTACTTCCAACAATTTAACACCTCGTTAAATAATAACGATCCACGAAAAAACCTTTTTTACGAGGGTTATTTTCACTATTAAGTTCCACAAATACTTTCGACCTCCACTGAGGTCTGCTTCAGGTGGTGACTGTCGACCCGACCGTTGTAACGATGTTGCCAACGATGTAAATAAATAAACGTGCGTGTCGGGTTTCACCCCTCCGACTGCCATTGCTCGAACTCCTCGAATAAATACTTCCACGCCTGTGCAAGTGTTTCCCCGTCCTTGTAGGTGATGCAGTTGAAAATAACCCTCGTAAAAAAGGTTTTTTCGTGGATCGTTATTAATCAATATATTTTAAAATATTCTTTTACCATAATATATTGTGACTTCAGTCGAATATTTTCATTTTTAACATGCTTTAATGCAAGTTTCAAATCCTGGATTTGTTGTAACAGTAATGGAGAATCTTTAATAACTGGTGATGATGGTGTGCCAGGAAGAGTTGGGCTTGATGGTGACTGTACTAAATAATAATTTAAACTTATTTTAAATTAAAATTAATTTAATTAAGCCTTTGTATTAAAAACATGTAAAACTATGCTGACCATTATTTATGATTTGTAAAAAGTTCATATAAAATTACAGTAAGTCTTACCAAGACTTGCAAAAGGTGTTGGTTTTGATAATCCTTCTATCAAAGCTTTTTTGGATGCAGATTTTAATTTATCTTTGAGCTCTCCTCTTTCAGTTTCTAAAGCATCAATATCTGCTTGCAAATGATCTAATGTTTCCTCAAATTCTCTGAAAATTTAGAAATGGTTAACAGAAGAATTAAACATTTAACACTTTAAGATATAATACTGAACATTAAAGATAACTGAATAATTTGAATAATCTCAATCAAGAAACTAATAATCAGTTTTTATTATCTTAGATCTCGTTTATTCTACATTTGAATGCTATTAGCATCTTTAAGATTAAATTTTTATTATTTTTAGTTATGTATATTGAAGATTGCATATTAACGCAATAAAAAGTAATATAATACAATGTATAATTTTTATGAAAAACTTAAAAATTTTATACTCTGAATAAAATCCATAGTTGTTTTCTAATACTACTAATATCATTAGAAAAAATTAGTAGTACAAAAAAGTAAAAGTAGATTAAGTGAATTTGGAATACAGTAGAATGGTTTTTGAAATGTATACCTTGATATTGTTTTCAGTATTCATACTTTGAAAAATGATGTTCTTAAATGTTTTTGAACATCACAAAGCTAAAATTTTGTATTTTTAATTATATTTTGTAAAATATGAATATAAATAATTGCAACATATTTTCCAAAATATGCTTTTTCTGGCATTAATAACCTTAATTATCATGACCAAAATTTATTAAATTTTCAATATTGAGAAAAGTAATTTAAAAATCAATTTTTAGATTTATTCTATTTATAGTTAATTACACTGCTTGGTAACAAAAAATATTATGCACATTGTGTAAGAATGGTATTCAATTAAATAAATATTTGAGGTATTTGGTTATTGTTTTTAAAAATACACAAATAAAATGTTTTTTGAGACTAGAAATTGTCCATCATGAGTATTTTATATTATGAAAAGCAAAAAAAAAATAAACTTATATTTTTAACTCTAATAAAGGACAATTCAAAATGAATGACAGCTGGATGGAGCAGTCAAGGTGGAAGCCTACCGCTCTGGGGGACCCAGGATCGAATCTGGACGGATTGATAAATTGTCAGGAATTTTTCAGGTGGTGGTCTGTCTGAATATGTTGGGCCCCGTCCCTCACCACCTGGCCGCCCCATTGTGGGCCTGGTCTAACCCATAATGGGTTTGCTAAAAAAAAGGCCCTCTTAGTGCCCACAGGCTAGTAAGACAAGAGTTAAAAATAAAAATGAATTCAAAATGAACTTGCAACTTTGAAAGCATAAAATTTTAATCTAAAACCTTACAGAATCTATTGAGGCATTAATTTAAAGCTAAACACATCAAGTTTTACCTCAAATATCAATAGTCATTCTGATTTGATATGAGCACCATTGGTGATAATGCAGACATCCAATCTGAATTCAATATCTTGCCAAACTCAAAGCAGCATATCTGTTGAATCATCATCACAGTTACCAAACTGGTAAGTTCTGAGTTCAGTGAGATTTACAGGCAAGAATTTATAAACAATATTTAAAGAAGCCCCAGAAAAAACAGCAAGATGTGAAATCTGAGGGACAAGGTAGCACATGTTATTGGCCCTACTCAACCAATCAACTGATCTGAAAAACATTCATTCAGGAAATCCTTAACAGCTATATGGTGAGGAATGCACTGTCTTGCTGAAAGTGCATCCATCCTCTGTGTCATCATTGTTTAACTGTGAAATGAGAAAGTTTTCCATCATATCCGGATACATGATACCATTAGTGATTCCCACATGAAAAAAGAAAGGCTATACCTTTGCTAAGATCATAAACACACTAACTTTTGAACTGTCATAAATGTTTTACAGTTGCTTGTGGGTTTTAAAAGCTGAAATCCTTCAGTTGTGGGTGTTTCTTTTACCATTGAGATGAAATAATGATTCATCACTAAATAAAATATTCTCCAGAAATGTCTTCTCTTCCTCAATCTGATAAAATTTCTACACAGAATCCCTGACAAGCTATCTTATCCATAACAGTAATTTTTTTGTAACATTGCAAATGTGTATGATTTTAAGTGCAAATATTTTTGTAAAACTTGCCAAAATAGTTGGTTGTAAAATGTCAGTTTTTCAAGATGTATGTTACATTAAACTGTTATGATGATAAATGAAGCGTGAACTCACTTGTTTCACAACAGATTCAAAAACATGTTGGTGACTAGGAGATACATCATGGCAAAGAGAACAGCTAGCCTCAATAAAATTTTGGTGCCAAGAATATATTGTACATCTATTTGGAAGATCCCTACAATATTGATTGCAAAAATTTCATTGAACAATTATCATAAATTATTTCCTTGAACCAAAACACATAACAAGTGAACCTCAAATCAGTGAAAGCAGCCATTTTAAAATGCAGGTCTTACAATGACAGAATCCAATATTATGGCATGATACAAACTTCATGTACTTCCTATAAATTAACTCTGCAATATATTCTGAAAGTCTGATTAAAGTTCTATGCGCTTTCAAAGTCATAGTTCTTTTTGAATCATCCTAAATTTGTATTTTATGTAGAGAAAATTTTATAAAACAAATAATTTAACTTTCACTTTATGAATTACATCAAAACTGGAAAATTTAAACAATTTCTACATGACCTAAATTTTATAACTTTGAAGCAATCAAAATGCAGTTGAAAGTGCTGACATAAAATTTCAGTTTTAAGTATACTGCCTTAACACATCTGAATACAAACACTAATATTTAAATAAAGAAAAAAAAACTATACTTATAGCATATCTTTCTCTGAAGATGCTTTTAATAAAATGATAGTTACTGTATATTCAATATATATTATATTTGAATGTATGTTAATTTTTAACTATTACATTAAAATTAATCATCAAATATTCAAACTTACAAAACCAAGAATTCAAATCTGACTAATTCAAAGAAAATAAAATCAATTATAATATCCACTTATCCTATCTTACAACATATAAGACACAACTTAAAAAAAATTGTCCTGTATATTACATGTGAAGTTGCAATCTCTCATAGGCTAATGAATTTCCCAAACAGTCTTCAGACACAAGCAATCTCTACTTAACTCAACACTTGAGTAATAATATTATTATTTAACTATCCATAATACAGTTTAAAAAAATTATACTTAACAATTAATTTATTTAAACGATCCTGTGCCAAAGATATAGGGGAGTTTAAATACATTAAATACCTTTTCATAAATATTTTGTGCTGAAATGGAGTTATGTCTTATATGCCATAAAACAAAATAGATATTATCATTACACTTTAAAACTTGCTGATTGATTAATCTTAATTTCTTGCATTCTTTTTGCTTATTTATTGTATCTGGATCTGTGTAATATTTCAACTGAAATTTGCTATTCAGTTTCAAATTATCATTCAGTAAATAGAATTAATATTAAGTGAATTTTTAAAATTATTATTCATTGCTGTTATTTGTTTAAAAACTTTGTAATTTGTTCATAAAATTAGTGAAACTAACTTTTCCTTTTTCTTTAGCAGCATTTTTGTTTCATCTAGTTGTCTTTGTATTCTTTCAACTTGTTCATCACTATCTTTGGTAGACAATTCCAATTTCTTTTCTGCCATTTCTTTTCTCACATGCATTTCACTTAATTCTTCACTCTAAAAAATTAATTTATAAAATATTAAGTAATACATAGCTATCAATAAAAATTTCAGTAATGATAAAATCATAAAATTTGTTGTACCTTTATTTTTAAAGCCTTTTTTAATTCTATTATATCCCCTTCTCTTGCATCTAATTTAAATTTCAAGTTTTCTATATCTTTGGTTTCTCCTTTTACAGCTTGAGCTCTTAGATAAACAGGAGGTATAGCCTAATAATATAATATTTAAAAATTTTATACACAGAAAAAAATTTTGTCTTCCCAAAATTAATAGTTCTGAAATGCAATCCTTAAAGTAATATGCTTTATGTGCTTAATTATTAATTTTTAAATATAAAAATTAGGATCAAGTTAGTACATCAGGAAGGAGCTAGAATAATGTAAATGTGATTTCTCAATTTTATCCATTACATGTAGAACTAACTTGCAGTGATGTTAATTAACAATAGATGATGTCTAAATAAGAACAAATTCTCTTTCAAATCACATCATCAAAATATTGCTCCTTAATCATGAAATAAAATTCATATTGAAAAATTTTCATTATTGTACTTTAAAATAAATTAATTATATTGTTAAGAAAGTAAATGAATGGAATAATTTAATCCTTGCATAAAAATAGAGAGTTTTATGTCTAAACTATATAAATAACAATATATTTTACATACTTTAATACAATTTTAATATACATAATTTTTCTTAAAATCGTAAATTTTATCCATAAAATAAAATTATAACAATGTTAATAGAAACAAAGTTTGTTTATCTTATTAGATTTTACTTTAGACACAATCTCAATTATATGTCTAAAGTGTGCCATACATCAACTCAATCTTTTTGCTTCCACATACGATGAATTAGCATTTTATTTTAAATAATAAAACTTCTTTTTACTTATCAATCAGTTTGGCTTTTATGCTCCTTTTGGTGGATTTGATATTTTAATTAATAGTACAGCATTAATAATGCCAAAATAAAAAATGAAAAATGTATCTTTCTATGAAAAATTAGCCTTTACAAATGTATTACTAAAAAAAATTAATGGCTATAGATTGGCTAAAAGCTGCTCATCTTGATAACTTAATTGAATTAAACCCAAAAATGTTCATTTATTATGCACACAATGATAAAAGTCAAACAAAATTATTAAAAAAATCCAGCAATGATTTGATAGATGTTTTCCTGTTTAAAAAACACTACGAATATTAGCATAAAGTTAAAACTGTGTGGTCCCATCTGTTACAAGACGTTCTTAATTTTGAGGATAGAGATAACTTTTTAAAAAATTGTAAATTTCAGTTACAAATAAAATTTTCATTAAATCTGACACTACTCAAGGTATGACATGACCCTCCATCTCCACAACTCCTCAACCATTAACCGTCAAAATTTAATAACATCAACGCCCCTTATATACAAGTTACCATACCAAATTTTCTCTCTTAATCTTTACCCCTTCATGAGATATTAATGAAATGGACATCAACTCATATGTATACATCCATGAAATTTTTCCCTTTTTCTTTACTTTTTGGGTTCAGGAGTCTCAAAATGTCAAGATTTGCAAAAAATCTGGAGGGTCAAATTTGATGCAATTCCAATACCCATATACCCATGTTATACACATAATGAAAATTTTTTAGTTTCAGAATTAAATTTAAGTTTCAAAGATAATAAATTACTAAAGATGTTATTGTCCCAATTAGGATTATCTTACATTAATTCTAAATACAGGTAATCCCCGTATAACATGGCACTTCTATAGCACAGATTCACTCTAACACGGTTTGAGAATTGGTACCATCCCTGTATAACACGGTACTGTTATAGCACGGATTCACTCTGACACAGTTCGAAAATTGGGTAAAACTCTCGTACAACATGAAATGTAATAAATTTTTACATAAGTACTAATAGTTCACAAAAATTATTATTTTCGTGAACTATTAGTACATAAGTATGTAAATTTTCTTTTCTCGTGCTTCTGTCGATACACATGGTCCTTCTCGAAACTTGTTTCAGTGTTGCCATATCTTGACGCTTCTGATTTTGGTGTTGCCAGATGTTTTTCCCTTATTCCATACTTTCTTTATTCCTCATAAGTGCTTATCACCATATAAGGAAAATTATAAAGATCTTTTAAAGCAAGCAATCTAAAATTACATACTTTTTGCAAAAGGTAAAGCATGGATCTGAAGATAATGCAGAAAAATGCTCAGAGGATAACGATAACTTGCCAAAATGAAAATGCTCTCGGTTAATAGTGCTTTTAGTGATGACGAAGAAAACATTGTTTAATTTATATTAATATGTGTCACTTAAGAAAATTTTAATAAAAATATTTATCTTAATTATGAAAATATAATAGCATGCTTTTTAATTTTTGGAACTTAACCCTCCTTTTCATACTAGTTCTTTGTTTCGTATAACATGGATTCGCATAACACGGCAATATTTTGAAACGTAACTACCGTGTTATACGGGGGTTACCTGTACTTAAATTCCTAGGTTTCATATTCTATAATATTTCTGTTAAATTATCATCATACACAATTTATGTTTCAATGTATGTTTTTTTGCAGAATAATAAATCTGAGAGATAAATGAATATGTAAAAGAAATAAAGTAACAATTACCTTCATTTCATTTGAAATTTCCTGATCAAATTCTCCATCTTGAAGGGATACTGATATTTTGGTCAAAGATTCCAATACGAAATTTAGAGATTGCCTTAATATTTTAAAAATAACATTTTAATTGTAAAATTAATATAATTTTTTATAATATTAATATAAAGTTATAACATTTACTTCAAGCAACCAGGACCATTATCTTCATTGCCATATACTTCATCAGTTGCTTTATGTGCAAGTTCTTTTAATTTTTCATTTGTAATATTAGAAGTTTCTGGTACCATAACAACTTGTTGTACTGAAGACTGATATATAAAATAAGTGGCTGAAAGAACTCTATCCATATGCTCACGGCATATAACCAATTGGTTTTGAACCTGAAAAGTTAAAATAAACTTTTAAAATAATGACTAACTTGAATTCACAAGTTAACAGAGTTTGTATCTTAAAATCATCCTTTTAAAAATGTTTTATCATCTTTTATTTATGTTACTGTTTACTAACATTAGTTAACAAGAAAATTATTAACAATACCCTAAAACTTTTAAGCTTCTTAAATTTGAATGCTTTAAAAATGGAGAGAAATGAAAGATATATTTCTCATTCCTTAAAACTATTGCAACAATGCATAAACTAAGCAACAATGTACATAAAGTTTTTTAAGGAAGTAAATTTTTTCATTTTATACTTAATTGTTTTTAGAATTATAACAGCATTCTATATAAATAGAAAAACTTTTCATTATTTATTTTGGTTACATTTATCTCTTTTTCCTAGTGATTAATGATATATATCAATATGATAAACTTGAATAATGAAAACTATTTAATGCACTTCATCAAAATTTTTACAACTTATAAAAACATTAATTTTATTAATACATTTATTAATTCATTATTTCTTGCTAATCTATGTGAATTGTGATATGTATATAGAAGCAAATAAGATTTTACATTATTGTTAACTACACAGATTACTAAATAGTTCTATTAATTATGTAGATTATATTTTATTGAATTATTCAAGAGTTGCTTACATAAATCTACATATCTTTTGAATTCCATTCTAATGTTACTGGTATATTTGTAAAATAATTTGTGTAGATCTTTAAAGGAATTTGGAAGTTTTATGTATCATACAATTTTTCATATTACATTAATTTATGAATTCTAAATGAACAATATCCACATCAAAAATTTACACTGACAGAACAATTCTTGAAGATATAGCATGTTTAATAATAAAGCTTATAAATTATTTAAATAGTTTATATGTTAAAATTATAATAAAATACTTAATACATTTTATTTATATATCAAAGTTCTTAATAATAACAAAGAGATGTGCACATTCTAAGTGTGCTAACAAAGATGAAACAAAACTACAAAAATAAACTTTTAGTTACATAATCAAGATTCTGCTATATATCATTTTTTCCATCTATTCTAAATAAAGCCCTAGAAATTGTATTTTGTACAAGTACTAAGCCAGAGCACTTCAACTTAAAAGATCCATTGTGCATCCCATAAGAAATTACTTCAGAAATATGACTTCTTGAGAGAGAGAAAGGGTATACATTTAAAGAAAAGAGAAACAGCACCAAATCTTAAAAAGGAAGAACCCTGATGAAGTCTGTCTAAGCAAAAGTCTACACCATAAATGAGATGCAGATGATGTGCCTTAGCAGAGCTGCAGAAGTGACAAAACTAAGAACATTTCATTTGACAAAAATGCTTGTGAAATTGATCAAAACTAGTCATAATGCAGACCAAGAAGCAAACATGATTCTTACCAAAAGCTATAAAATCCATAATTTGCATAGAGAGTAAGATAAGCAAAAATGCTTTATTCTGCTTTTAAACCAAAAGTTATCCGCACTGCTTTAAATGACCGAAAATATACCAGTCTTTGAAAGTTATAAAGTTCTGGAAAAAATAGCTAAAATTGGTTCAGATCTAATAAAATGCTTTCTATTTGACCAGTAGATTAGCACTTACATTGCAAGCAATTCTCCTTGAAAAAATTGTTGCAGTGAGTCAGTTCAGTGAAATGCTTAAAGCATTCCCTAACAAGTGCTGAAATGAATTGATAAAACTCAATTGCCTTCAAGGCAGCCTGATTGTCAGAAACAATATAGATAGCCTTATTAAAAGAGTATTTATGTAAAATAATGCAAACATACAAAATATTATCTAGCAGTATAGCTTGAAACAGTTGGAAATTTTCCCAATGGGACAAGAAACCCCTTCTGAATGTCTCCCAAAACTAATAATGGGACAAGACTGGCATTTGTGTTAGTCTGTAAACCAGACTAAATCCTTTAGATGAAAGGTCATCATCCTACCCATATATCAATCAAGGCAACTAAGAAAAGAGAGATAACATTTGTCAGAGTTCATCAAAAAGATGTCTTCCATTAATGTGTCCCTCAGCAAAGACAAATAATTAAAAGAGAAAATAAGTTAACCATTACACTTGCTCCTATAAAGGAGCCTCCTCACCTTAGTGTGAATGAACAGGTGAAGGGAATATAGATCCAATAGATGCCTCAAGTATACATGACTCCATTGATATTTAATAATATAATAATACAAGACTCCAGTTTAATGACAGATATGTTATAAACTATATGCCTTGCAATAGCAAGATATGCAGCATTGCTATTGCAAAGTTGCAAATTTCTCTAGAGCTTGAAGATATTACTCAAAAACTAATATTAACAATATTTATGATAATCATGTTTTTGTTATCAATTAAAGAAGTATTACTTAAGATATTTAAAACAGAAAACTGCTACATATAACTTATTTAATAAAAATGAAGAAATAGTATTTTGGCAATTAAATTTGTAGAAATTTCACAAATGAAGTTAAGCAAGGAAAAAATTAGAATATTAAAGTTAATTTTTAAGTAAAAACTAAATTTTAAATAATAATTTTTTATTACTTCTTGTCCAAAGGAAATTGTTGAACCTTTCTCTTGTGGTATACGTCGTCTTATCTGGAATATAAAAATGTACACTTTATTAGTTAATAATATGCATGAGGTATTTGAGAATAATTTCATTTTTTTTTTTTCTAAATTCAATTACTTATAAGTTCATTTAAATTTGGAACTATTTCTTTATTACTATTGTATTATTTATTACAATAACACATTATAACTAATGTTATTGACTATAGCAAAGAACTTTTTTAATCTTCATCTTAAAATTATTTTTTCATTAAAATAATTTAATTATTTTATAATAATTATAAATTTATTACAATGATTTAAGTTAATAGAAGTACAAAAATTTCAATTTTACTTGATTAATAGGTCTTAAAATAAGCTAAATTTATAATTTTATTTTTCTAAAGCTTTACTTTTGTACTAGTAATAAAAATAAATTTTAAAAAGTTATTGTCCAAAATAAATCAAAATTTCAAAACTCCAGTGAATCATAAATTCTCACAGAAATATCTTTATACTCTCAGATTAATAGTTTTTACATATCAACCTTCTTTACATTAAAAATATTTATGAATTAGGCTCTAAATTGTACTTGATGAATATATTTTCTGATTGGTTTTCATTTCTCTCTTTTTTTTCCAATACATTCTTCAGATAATAAAAATTTATTATACAGTAATACCTTGACTTATGCGAACCCAGAGTTACGCGAATTTCAAATCTCGTCGATTCGTCTTTTGTTCGAGCACCACGCAGCTCTTGATTATTCACTCCCCCCACACTATTGTTCGGCTTAAATGTTCGGACATGTTGCGCAGAATCGACATATAACTACAATTTGTTTTGTGTTATTTATTTCTGTGTTTGTTATATCTGCAGAGACTCGAGAGACTCTATTATGTCATCTGAACGAAGTAGAACTGATTCTTCTGCATCAAACAAGAAAAGAAAAACTTTACATTCCAAAGATAAAGTTAACATTATTAAAGACTTCGATACAAAAATGAAAATTTGTGAATTGGCAAAGAAGTTTGATCTATTGGAATCGACGGTCAGAACAACTATAAAAGGTAAAGAAAAAATTCTCGAAGCTGTAAAAAATGCTCAATCTTTAAATTCAAGCATCATTCGTAAACGTCACGGTATTATCCCTGAGATGGAAACGATGTTAAAATTATTGTGTGATAATCAAGTAAATGTGGAAAATTGTGTAATAATATAATTTGTTATACATATGTATTATCTAAGATTTTATTAAACATTTTTTTCTAAATTATTGTTTTCTTTAGTCTCTGGCCCCAATTAAAAATTATTTGTATGTATTTATATGCGAAACTATACCCCAACTTACGCGAATTCGACTTACGTGGTTATCGCTCGGTCCCACCTATCGTGTAAGTTCGGGTATTACTGTATTATATAACATGCAATTTCATAAGAAAAGTTTTCAATCACATAAAAATTTTTTTCCTATTCAGTATTTTTGTTTACTTGCTAATTATTAACATTTTTTAAATCTTAATGAAATCACAGAATAAAATTATTCTCATTGATAGAGAAATAAATTACATTTTCCATCGTTTTAACATTTTTGTATATTGATTATAGCTTGTAAATCATAGAATATTTTTATATCTCATTTACAACTAGACTGCTTTTCTCTTTTTGGAAAATAGAAATAATGGATTGGGGTGATAAACAATGCAACACAAGGGTAAACTCCAGACTCCTGAGCAGCATCCTTCCTGATAAGACTTTCCATGGGAAATTGGCTTGATTTAGGTTTGACATGAAAAACAAATAACTAGTAAACATGAAAAAATTCAGAAAACTATGCATCCAGCCCACTGGTCAAACACAAACCAATGTTCAGTAGTTTTATCCCTTGGTCAATAGTGGGTTAAAGAAGTAATGAACAATTCTGTCAATTTAAAGACTTAAATCGACAGAAGTTTGAATAAAGAACACTTTTTATAACATACAAAACAAAAAATGAATTAGCAGTAGAAATATTTCAAAAGTAATAGAATGTTACTATTACTAAAAATAATTGCTGAAAATATTTATTAATGTGAAATACCTGTTTCAAAAAAAATTAGTTTCTATGCAATACTTATTAAAATGTTTAAATNCTATTACGAAAAATAATTGCTGAAAATATTTATTAATGTGAAATACCTGTTTTAAAATAAATAAGTTTCTATGCAATACTTATTAAAATGTTTAAATATTTATATAAATTTTAATTTAAATATTATATAAAAGTACCTTTTTCACTAATGCTCGAATTTCTGTTATACACGAAGATAGTTCTTTTAACAAATTTCCTATTTCTGTATTTTCTTCATTGGGCTTCAATAACAAAAAATATACATTACAAACTGAAAACAATATTTTAATAAATTTTAAACTTGCATACTTACTTTTAAAAGGACTAAAACAGCTGCCACATTAGCACCAATTCCATCACAAGCTGCACCAAATAATTGCATGAAGTCAGACATCAAAGACATACAATCAATCTTTTCATTAGCAAGGTGAACACTGTACAGGCTCTTTATAAAATATTTTGATTGTAATTAAAGTAATCCAAAAAAAGCATTATTAAAATAAACTAGGGACATACTAACTTGAAAATATAAAACAGCTTTATGTAGAGTTTCAAGCTGTACATTTTCATCCAACTAACAAAATAATTTGTAAAACACTTTTATTTTCTGTTTTAATATCAATTAAATTTACAATATAGCAATATAAAAAAATTTAGATTTTATTATATATTAAAATGTAAAATCTTATATTGCATAAAATTCAATTTGTGATGTTACTTAATAAAAACAATTATCACATTTTACTATATGTAAAAAGTTATTCAACTGTGTTTTATATAGTTTTTTTTTTTACAAGAAAAATTTAAAATAATACTAGCTTTGACACAGGAAAGATGGAAGCCAGAATTATTAGTTTTGAAGCTGGAAGAATGCATTGTTAATATATTGTTATAATATCATTTAAAAGAATTGAAGCAGTCAATTTAAAAGGGGTCAATGTCCAGAGAACATAACTTTTCAAAAAAAAAATGAATTTTATAAACTGAAAGATAGCTTTTGTGAGTGAATTAAACTAAATTTGATATAAGTTTGATTTTTTTGGGTGGCAATCAATGATGCTCATGCACACTTGAAAGTTTGCAAGAAAAGAGCATGTGCCATAAGCCACAAAAAAGGTGTGCATTTGTACTTCACGTTTCTGCCATGTCTTTTCTATGCTGGGATTACAAAACAGATCTGTTTGATAAACTTTCATAGAAGAATATAAATTATTTAATTGACTTTATTGAAATTTATAAAACTATTGGGTCCCCAATTTCGTTTTCATTTATTTATTAAATTTATGACAAATAGACAACAAATAAAGTCATAATCATACTTGTACATCATCATTTTACAAAATAAATGCATTGCTCTATGAGCAATAGTTCATAGAGGGGTAGACAAAATGTTCATTGGTTCTGTAGAACTACATCATGAGTGATATCACAAGTGACAAATTTGCCTGATCATCAAAGCAAAACAGTTAAGAGACCATAAAAATTCTCTCTGATGTCAGGTCGAAATCAACAGCATTGCCTAGTTTGCAGTGGCCTTAAGACTTTGTTTTTAAAAAGCAATTTTCTAGAAAACATAAATAGTTTTTCTTAAAATCAAAATTAGAGATTTTTAAAAGACAAATTTATTGAAACATTTTAAATCAAAGTAAATAGTGTAAAAAGATAAGATGGTCTGAAAAAAATTTCAGTTAAATCAAAATTGTACAAAAAGAAAAAAATATTGGATGTACAAACTACAAATAAATATACAGTATAAAATTCAACTACTTCAGTTTTAAAAGTTTACAACCATTAACTTTATTCAATTCATACCTGATCTCTTTTTAAAGAATCAATATAAAAATCAAGAGCCTTTTCTTGAACTGCCATTTCTGGATATAGAGTACCTATTTTCATAAAAAGTTCCATACTGCATGTATTTAATGCACTAGAAACCCAAAAGAAACAATTATATAATTTTTTTTTTAATTTTAAACTAAAATTAATGTTATAACTGATAGAAATTAATCATCATATACACTATTTGAAGAAGTGTGCACACAATTTTTTTCAGAATCATCTTATTTAGAAAAATTTAAATGCAATTTTTCAAAAGCAATGTTATTTTCATTTATTTTACATTATAGTTATTAAAATATCATTTCATTTAAAAATAACAACAAATTCATGTTCTAAAAATAGAAATTTTAGAACATGAAATTTATTTTTATCATTGAAAATTTTGCACTCATCACTGTATCCAGGCTAATGTCCTACTTGCTTCATCTTTCTTATACTATAATTTAATGTGTGCACAAACTCTCTTCAAGTAGTGTATATAATGATTAATTTCTATCAATTATATCATCTATTGTAAAAAACATTACAATTTATATTTTAATTAACCATAAATACTACAATTAATTTTTATTAAAATTGAAAATTATTATTAAGTATATACATATAATTTTTTTTCCTTTGAATAATATTAATAATACAATTAAAATTTCACCTGATATACTGATGCAAAAAGCTTTGTAAAGTATATAAGTGAACAAGAAGGCGACAAGCAAAAGTAAACTGATCCAACTTATGTGATTTTAAAACAATATCGGGCTTAATTTCTTCTGTCAATTGAAACTGGAATAGTAATCAGTTTGCTGAATGTTTTAAAATGAAATAAAAATGCATATAAAATGAGAAATACCTTATCTTTCACTTGTGAACTTAGTATTTCTGCTTTGCTTACTATCCGAGGAACTAAAAGCAAAACTAATGTAGCATCATGATCACCTGATAAATATAAAAGTTGATCTGTTAAATAATTTCATTTAAAAACAAACAAAAATGTTTATTAAAATAAAATAAAATAAAAATAATTTAAAGTTAATCAACTGCAAGTTATAAATTAATATCTTAAATAGACCTAAAACTAAAATGACTCAAAAGTTAAATTATTTTTTATGAGAATGTTTAGAAAAGAAAAACATAATTTCATTATATATATTTTTTTGAAACAAAGCTTTTCTGACAAAGTTTGAGTGACACAAGCAAAAATATTTATTAAATATTTTATTAATTTTAATTTTTTGTTTCATCAGTTATGTGGAATTGTTATATATTTATCTCATTTAGCTTTACTCATTTAGCTAACAAGCTATTATAGCTTTAACATTTGATTCATTCATTATTACTTCCTTTTTTCACATACTTTTTATTTCATCTTTGCACATCTTAGCAATACATTTCCTTCAAATGTTAGTTTTCTATTTGAAAATATGCTCATACCTTTTAAACTTAAAAACATTAATTCTTTTTAAAAAATATCTTTATTCTCTTCAAGTTTAATATCAACTTTTCAAGAAATTTACAATTGCTATTGGCCAAATCTAACATAAAGAGGGTCAAAAACATTTCAAATTAAGGTTAACAGGATTTGCTTCCATAAGAAGCAGTAATAGAAATATATATTGTCCTAAATATTTAATTTGAATTTTGTTCCAATACAAAAATTCTTTTACACTGTTAAATGATCTAAGCTGAGGATGATTAGATATTTGACCAAAAACATTTCCTTTGTTTAATAGTAACTGTTAGCTTCCTGAGATAAGTAGTTGTTTACTTTATTCATTTGTAAAGATAATGTCAAGTTTTGTAAACTTTCACAAAAATTTTCATGTCATTTGATTGAATTTACAATCACTACCCATACTACATTCAAATATATAAATGTGAATTGAAACAAATTTTGTTATTTAATCAGAACAGAGTTAAAACAGTTATCATTTCACATAAAAAACATGTATGCAAAGTTTTATCAGTTTATGTCCAGCTTTTTCATCTATTAGAGAAATTAAAGTTTTATTATTTTAATAAAAATTAGGGAAATGTTTACTATCTATTATATGGAAAAAGATGCTCAAAATAAAAATTATATTTGATAAATAAAATCATTTATATATAAAAATCAATTTAAAAAGTTTAAACTAATGATTGGTAATGACATTTTTATAATAAAAACAAAATATTTTTATATGAAAAATTAAAAATAATTTTTTACCTCCTCTTGCTAAAAAACTATCAGGCATAAATGAGCAAAGATAATTGATATGTAGATTAGCTTGATGTATTTCAATTCTTCTCATTTCCATTTCTATTGCCTACAATTCAAAAGATTTTAAATGCTCAATTATTAATGTACATTTAAATTTATGTTAAAAGTTTAAGTTAATTAGAAAAATTTAATTTTTATACCCTTGCAAAAGCTTTAGTTTCAGCAAATTTGATCTTGTAATCAAAGTTTTCTGCAGGATTGATTTTTGAAACACGGTCAGATTCTTTTTGAATTTGATTTCTTAATTCTTGATTAGATTCTCGTAAATGTTCGGTTACATCTCTAAATTTCTGTATTGTCTGCTCATAATCAGTCAATGTTTCTTGCATTGCATCCAATTTACGTTGAAACTGAAATAATAATAATAATAATAATAATACTGCTATATTGAACAAGTTATATTGTTAGAAAATTTCTAGATGTTGACACATATATCAATTACACAGCTTAATGTTACACTTTGGGTAGCTATGCTTTGACTTCAGTCTGACTTGGCACTGATATTAGCTGAACATCACATTCACAACATAACAACAACAATAGTAATAACAAAAATAATAATGTATATTATTAGTTTGCAGAGCATTTATCTTTTGAACATAAAGAAAAAATAAGATTTAATACTTAATAACGCTGTACATTAAATTAATTTTAAAATTCAAACAATAAATAATTTTACAAATAAAAATTCTTTTTTATTCATTTCAAAACATAAATGTCTAATTTTTAAATACCTGTTTCTTTATATGAAAAATTTCAAATTTAACAGGTCAAGAAAAGTTACAACCAGAATGAGAACCAATTTTATCATAATCATTTATATTATTTTTTTTACTATATTTTGTAAGTGAATAAATTTGTTTTAACTATACATAGATAACAAGAAGAGTGAATATATATTAATATACATATGTATTTATTTACATTAATAACTTGTATTATTTATTCATTTTGATTAATAAATTAATTTGCATTAAAATTAACATGAGTTTTAATGTATTCAAAATAACTAATAAATAAAATAAAGTAAGATCTGAATACTATCATACACTATAATTTCATATCTATAATCCATGGATTGTGTGTTAAAAAACCCTTCTGGCTTCAATAGTCTAGATTATAGGTTACTAAATATAATCTTTGACAATTTTTGACATTATTTAAAAAAGCTATAAAATTATTTTACTTTTTGTCATATCAAATTTTCATCTTGACATGATAAAACTTGGGAAGGTGTCTTCTTGTTGTCTACATGTCAGGCAGATGCAAAAGACAAAGATGCAAACACTTATTCATTTATGATAAAAAACCCTTCTGGCTTCAATAGTCTAGATTATAGGTTACTAAATATAATATTTGACAATTTTTGACATTATTTAAAAAAGCTATAAAATTATTTTACTTTTTGTCATATCAAATTTTCATCTTGACATGATAAAACTTGGGAAGGTGTCTTCTTGTTGTCTACATGTCAGGCAGATGCAAAAGACAAAGATGCAAACACTTATTCATTTATATTTGTGAATAAAATAGAACGTTATTATATGAGGGTCAGTTTTCAAAACACACATGCCAAAGTTTATGTCATAATTAAGTAAATGGAATATATACAGTAAATACATAGTTCCATACAATAATAATAATCTGATATTAATAATATAAAAGCCATCACATGCACATGAATTCCTTATAACTCCTGCAATTTTTGTCCAATCCAGATGAATTTTGGTTATATTCTTTTTATGTTCTGACAGAAAATGTAGGCTAGTTACTCTACAAAAATATTAACTACAGAATAAGCATTTTATCAATTTCAGATCAGTGATCATATTTAACTTGCAGCAACTTCAGTGACCTCATTTAGTTTGTACTTGACGATGGAATTTTCCTTAAGATGTATTTTTAAATATTTTGGCAAATTGCATATTTTCAACTTACTTAATTGAATTTAAAATTTAAAAAAGAGAACCACATTGTGCCACTTCTATAACAAATTTTAAAAAAATCTTTTCATAGTGATGACATGATGTTCTACCACGTATTATCCAATAGAAAGTAATGATCTAATGAATCTGTTAACTTCAATCTCTACTTTCTCATAAAAAGCGTTGTCATAGGAACTTTTTGGAATTATTTTAAAGGTTGGCAAGGCAGATAGTTGGTGAGGGATTTGAGGAATGCAGACAGAAAATGTAGTCTGCATGCATACAGCTGTAGAACACAAATGAGGTGGGGAACATGATAGTTATAAAATATTTATATGACAGCAAAAAGGAAAATGAAAAGAAAAATACCAAAGTGCCAAAAACAGCTTATGAGCTTTCAAAAATATACAGCACTATTGATAGCTTGTGCAGAGTTGCAACAATCAGAACCTATTCCTGAGTGAAATCCAAAGTTTATGCAAGCTTTGGAAGCAGCCTGGCTCTTGTATGCCAAAGTCTTGAAGGAAATGAATAAACTGTTGTACTCCTTGACAATCATCTTAAAATTTAACACTAATGTTATTATTATTATTAAACAAATGAATAAAATAAACATTAGTTATTATTTGCTTATTGAATCATCTACAAAAGTTTAAACATTCTTGTTATAGCAATATGAATTAGCTCAGTCACATTGGCTTCCCACAGGAGCCTAGCTCAATTTTCACACAGGTTTTCCTATTTGGCATTTACAAGATTTCCAATAAATCTAACCCTTATGAATGCCAAGAGTTACATGTATGTACTTTTTTTTTTTCTATTATTTTTGCATAAATACAAATATTTTTCAACAGTTATATTTGTTACTTATTTTAAATGTAAAAATTAAACATAATATATAAAAAACAAATTATTAGTGTTGCAACGAATAGTATATTTGGCCTCAGGCTGAATACTGAATATTCAGCCAAGAGCATGGCCAAATAGCCGAATATTTGGCCAAACTATTCGGCTTGATGAACACACGTACGAAAATTGGCATGCAAACCACATTATGGTGAGGACCCTGCTCTCTATTGGCCACTGTCACTATGCTTTGCCCATTGCATTAATTCTTGACAGTTGTAGTGGACAGAGAAGAGCGTCATGGCAGTATGTGATAAATGATGATATCATATGGGGATAACAATGAAATGACCTACACATGTAAATAACAGAAAAAGAACAGAGAAGGACCATGAAGTGAAAATGTGAAAAATACGAAATTGAGTTGATAACATAATCAAACAAGTCGAGGCAGCTTATTGGCATGAAATTCACGGCCGTCAATGCCAAACAATTGTTGTCATAGACTTTGGAAAGCTAAATGCTTGTAATGAAAGTCACTTAGTGTGCACGGACGAAAGCCTGGGGCCATTCGGGCTACCAAGCTGTCTAAAATTTGTGAAATCATAACTGTGACGTATTCCGATGTCCTATGTGTCTCTTTTCTCCGTTATCACCAGGCTATGAGTCACGTAATTGTAAAATGGGAAATTTATGACGGAAAAATGACGAATCAAAAGTATCGTGAGCATGTATTATGATGTATGCATAGGCATATGTGAACTAGAGCGACAGAGGAAAGAGAAAGAGAAGAGCAAAGACGAGCACTTAAAAAGAAGGATAGGCAGGGTCAGACCCTCAGATGTGCGACGATTCTTGAACGAATAGGTGTATACATGTGCTGATCTTTGTAATTATAAATTGTGAATACATGTGACTAATATTATTTTCTTTTTTATTTTGTGCATGTTATAAGTTATAAATAAATATAAACAAACAACACAAACCCGACAACATTAAATCTAAATACCAAAATGATTAATATACTGTGTTTTTGTTATTTCTTATTCCTGTTTTTTAGGTATTCGGTATTTGGCCAAATAGTGATTAAATATTTGTGTGTGAATAAAATAGATTAAATAGTGATTAAAAATAGGCCGAATATCGAATAGTAACCGAATATTTGTTACATCAGTACAAATTATGACTGTGTTAGTTAAATAAATAAAGAGAAAAAATTACTTCAGAAACTTTAACATTTGCCATATCTACTTCTTCTCTTAATTCTAATTCTGTTTCCCTTGCACTTTCTTGTAACTGTTCATTGATGTCTTGTAATCTTTCCTAGTAATGAAAGCAACAAAAAATTTTAAAAAATTAAATTAAGCTATAATCATGTTTAAATAATTATTTTAAAGAAAAATCAGTTAATACAAACCAAATCATCAACTGATTCTTGTAATTCTCTCACTTTTTCTTCAAGTGTTAAGTTACGTTCAGTAAGCAATTCAACCATTTCTTCTGCTCCTAACGCTGCATCTACCTAAACAATTAACATGATATTTGAATAATTTAAACTATAAATATTTAATAATTCAATACTAGGATTACAAATTAAGAAAGTCTGCTAGTTGTCCAGCAAACAATCAGCTCTAGATTTCTGGTTATCCCATAATGAAACAAGTTGTCCGAACTGCTGGGTGCATATGCAATATACGAGGGCTGTTCAAAAAGTATCGGACCTTTGGTCGTCAAAAATACATTTATTGATTTTGAGGTACAAAACCCTAATCCCCTTCAAAGTAGTCTCCTTGGTAGTGTATACACTTCTTCCAGCGTTCCTGCCATTGCTGGAAACACTGCTGGAACACATCTTTTGGAATGGCCATCAGCCGGTCCATTGCATTCCGCACAATGTCTTCTCTCGACTAAAATTGGGTTCCTTTTAGCGGCATTTTCAGCTTGAAAAATAGCCAAAAGTCACATGGAGCCATGTGGGGAGAGTACAGAGCGTGACGAGCCACAGGAGTGTTGTGTTTGGTGACGAAAGCCTGAATCAGATGCACAGAATTGGCGAATGTGTTATCATGATGGAGCTGGGAAGTTTTGACCGACCACAAATCCGGTCGTTTGTGTCGCACAGCATCGGAAAGACAACGAAGGATCTCCTTTGCGATGGTTTGGCCTTGTGGTGCGTACTCACAATACACCACCCCACGAGAATCAAAAAAACTGTCAACATGACCTTGATATTGCTGCAGACCTGCCGCGCTTTTTTTGGCATCGAGGATCGTCCCCGAAAGCCTGCTGAATCTTGCGAATGGTTTACGCTTGGGTATCGCCAAGGTTTTTGGCAAAATTTGATGTAATATCGCTGCTCATGTTGTTCAGTCATTTTCCAACTTAGTGGAATCCGACAAGAGCTCACTACATGTCCTCACTCATAGGCTGACTGCCAACGACTGACGCTTCCTGCAGGCGGGAAAAAATTCAGAGCTGTGCATGACTGTCCCTTCCACAACTCCACCGAAGAGGCCTCCCGCGCATCATTGGTTTACGCAGAAATAATAAAAGTCCAATACTTTTTGAACAAACCTCGTATATATATATATATATATATACTATNCTGCCAAGAGGAGAAGCCCCCTGGGAAGACTTTCTATTGGAAACTGGGTCCCTATTTAGGAGTTGATAGGCGATAAAAACCATAGAAATTCTACGCGACCAGCTTATTGGTGAGACCAACTACCGACATTTGATGGTTTTATTCAATTCACTCGGCCACTGATAATCTGACTGAATAACGAGATTTTGAATTTTTGAATACATTACGGTCAGGGGCGGATCAGGGGCGGATTTTCCGGGCCTATGGCTTATTGAAGTCCAACGGGGCACCATTTTTTATTAGATTAAGAATCTTAAAAATTCATTTTTAATAACATCAAAATCAGAGTTGAAATATATTTATTTATGAAATGGTGTTGAATGACAAACTTTATATCTTATATAAAAAAAACATAAGAAATAAAGAAATATTTACACTGATTAATTACTGACCAATTACATTACATTGATTACAATAAAATAAATAATGCTATAAATTATCGTTATTATTATATTATTAATATTAACTATTTTTTACTATATGATAAGTGCTCATTGTTAATGAAAGAGTATTAAAAATTTATGATGATAATTCAATTTTTGTGGGCCCTTGACACTTGGGAGCCCAGGGCTTAAGCCCTATTAGTCCCTATGTAGAAATGCCCCTGCTTACATACTATATAGCCATTTATTAAATCTATACATAAAAAGAAATATTGAACATCCTGACAACCTACAAGGTGCTTGTTTATAGTAGATGTCAACTTAAAAAAATAAAGTCTAAATTCTTTGTAGATATATTCAAAACAAGTCAAAATTTTTTAATGAAGTAAAATTATATTATTATGATAGAAGTATCATTCTAATGTCCTTAGTAGCAGTGTGATAAGTCTCTGTTATCTCTACTACACAATGTTTGAGATTTATTCTTCAAAGTAAAATAATTAAAGACTCAAACAATAAGGTTGGTTGGCATAGTTAATTGATGCTATTTATTAAGAGACTTAATCAATTAGTTATTGTAAGCTAAGTTGTTTGTAAAGCTATAATATTAATAAGTTCTTGACATATAGAACTTTTATCTTATTTGTATGTTCCTTTTTTCAAATAATATCAAAACAGAGTCTGAATATTTTAGTTTGCATATAGCTCAGATAAAATGATTAGGCACAACTTGTAGCTGGAGTATTATTAAGTTATATGGGGTTTTTTCCAACCTCCTTAAATAATTTTTTAATTCAAATTAAATATTATATAATCATTTTACCAAATTTTTATTAATACAGGAATACAAGATATAATATAACCAAAGGTTATGAATACAATAATAGTACTAAAAAAAAAGTGACCATAAAAAAATGAATTTTATGTCCATTCCACACATGTTCAGGGTGAAAGGTTAGAGCCATTCCTTCCTCTTCATGACCCGAGTTCTCTGAATTCATGACAAGAGCAGATGTGGAATTAATGGGGATGAGTTCTTTTGAGTAGGAGATTTTAAACTCTGTTTACATAAGATCTTAATAATTCCAATGTACTGCTATTTACCATAGTCTAACTTACAATTGGGTAAATCAAGCAAAATTTACCATTTATAAACTGTGTAATCTGATATAATTGTTTTTCCATTGTTTATATGAAGATAAAAATTATGATTATTGAATTGATTATTTTTATTTCTAAATACAAAATAATAGCACTTATTTGCATTGACTTTAAAGATTTGCCTTAATATAGTTATGTAATGTCTGTAATATGTTACTTATCTTGGTTTACAGGTTTATCATCTGGAATATGTGAGTCAGCATAATATAATCAGCATACATTATCATGCTGTCTTCTGGCAATATTAAGAATACATCATTTAAAAATATAATAAATAGTAATGATCCAAGAACAGATCCTTATGGTATAACTCTAACTACAGTAAAATTGCCCGAGATAGCATTATTTATATCAATATAGTTGTTTCAATTAAACAAATATGACATTACCAACTTATCAAATTAGCTCAGAAACCAATAGATGGAAACTTTCATTTGAAGATATCAAGATCAATACTTTCAAATGCTTTAAAAAAGACCTAAAAAGACAAATAAAAAAGACTATACAAGATTTATCTAAGTTTGTAACAATTTTATTTGCATTTTCTGATTAAATTTTTAATTTTGGTATATATTGGATTGATAAAAAAGTTTGTTTACTTCCTGTTGATAATGCAATTACTGTATTAATTCAAGAGAACCCACATTACACTACCAGGAAAATTACAAAAGTATTAGCTATTGTCCAGGGATTGGTTGGTGAACATTTACACAACTTAGGATATATATCATATCATGATATAAATCCTAAATTGTTATATATATTATATATTTGTGTACCATATCAACTAAGCTTCAGAAATCTGATAAAATATATGCCTGCAAATCATTGCTCAAACATAATCAGATGTATTCCTTTTTGAACTAACTAATTACTGGTGGAAAAAAAAATACAGGATTCCAACTCAAATAACTATTTTAAATTCCATGACTTTTCCTGACCAACTTTATACAAATTCTGTGACCTTCACATCCCTTACAGTATAGCACAACAACAAAATGAAACAGCACTTGACTTATTATAAACAAATGCTATAAATTCATTTACATATGCACAAATTCCCTGACTTTTTGACAAATTTCCTGACTTTCCATGCTGTTTTTTCCTGACTTTTCAGTTATATAGAAACCCTGAAAATAGATTGTTTATGATAATGTGCAGCTTATAAATTGTGAAGAAAGTCAACTGACCCCTAGCAATGCAGTCAAAAGCCAGTTTACATCTGATAAAGGTTATGTTGAGTATATGGAGGAACGAGCTATGAATTGATACATCAAAATAAGACTATTAATACAGAAAAATATGTTCCCAACTTAATAACCTGAAGGCAGCCATTGAAGAAAAACAGCCAGCATTAACAAGAAGAAAGAGCTGCTTTCCAGTATGACAATGCAAGACTGTATACATCTTTGACCATTGAGAAAAATTATTGGAATTTGGATGAAATGATTTGGATGTCATCCTCATATCTTGCAGTTTCTTATCATCACTTAATTGACCTCTCCAGAATAGTTTACAGAGGAAGAATTTCAATAATTTAAAATTCAATAATTTGTGAAAAACCACTTATACATTTTTTGAAAAGTCTCCAGAAGTCTTCGCACATAAAATAATGAATCTACCTAATGGATTAGTTAAAGTGAAGATAAAAATGTATATATAATTTAATAAAGTTATTTTTTTAACTTTTAAAATTTGAGTATTATTTTTGTCTAAAAAAATAAACAAACTTTTAAATAAACTCAATAAAGAAAAAAAAATATGTAAATTTCTGAATTTCATTTTCAACTTTTTTATTTTTCTTAATCAAACTGATTTATAAAACCTACTGTAAAAATGATATAAAAGAAGGCATTTCATTTTATTCCAATTTATTTACAATCACAAGAAAAACACAGCTTGTATTTACATGTTCTTTTGTTCTTAAATTCTTTTGTTCATTAAAATATTTAATATTTTCTTCATATTAGATTTGTTAATCAAACTCAAAAGAACCATGTCCACTAATATAGGAACTTTCTCTGTAAAAAAAGTTGTGGGAAATAGTAAAAATATACTGTCATTCTCTTTCCTGTTTACAAAAATATTAAAATAACGATATTAGATACACATGAAAAATTCTTTTTTGATTTCATAAGGGATCAAAAGCATTTCCCACATAGAATGACACTCCCAGAAACCAAAGTTCAGCCAGATAAATAATAAATTTATTCAATTTTAATCTACATTAGAAAACTAGTTCATAATATTGTCATCATCTATCAAAAACATTTACACGAAAAATACCTTTAATGCATATAAATGACAAACAATGCTCCAATACAACTTTCTATCAAAAAGAAAAAACTATTAATACTTCTAAAGTAAACTCTCAGATGAAACTGAACATAGAACTATCACTCACTCTCTCTCTTAGTAGGGAGCAAGATAACAGAATAATTCAATGATGTAAAGAGTCATGTAGTAAAATATTTTTTTTTGGTTATCAATTACAATCAGCAGTGAAGTCACTTCTAATTCCTATACTATATGACATCACTCTTTGACAAAACTCACATTTAATAATTTGTTGAGATCATTACAACCACATCTTGTGCCTTGCATTGATGTCAGAAAAGTTTACCTATTAAACAATTGTTACAATCTTCACATATTTAGCAGTACAAAGTGTATGTTTAAAATTTATTTTGAAATGTTTTAAAAGTTCAGTTAAAAATTGTATTTATGTTAAAAATAACATTTGTTACTGAATATTGAATATATATTATTAACCTGTCCTACACTGTTCCCAAAAATGTTGACCTTATTGACCTGCATGGGCGATCCCAAATATATTCGTGTTCACATCGGAATGTTTTTGATACTAGCTGTCGCTATGCGTCACAATTTTTATATTAAAACAAACTTTTAAAATATAATTTTTTTTGTTTCTATATTATTCAATATATTTATTTTGTTTGTAAAACATAAAAAAATAATTTTTACGATACAGTAAACATGATTATCATTCAAAAAAAAAAAAATTAAAATTTTTAGGCTTAACATTGACGAAAATTCAACATGGCGTCACAGGCAACAAATAAAAATTTCAACATCAAATAGGTTAATCACCATACATGCTTTATTGAATACATGCAATTTTCATGTTTATTATTTAGACATTTATTAACTCAATAAAAATTATCAAACTTTAAAAAATAATTTTAATATAAAACAATGAATTACTATCATCATATTCAAACAATAAAATTGTAATATGATAGAAATTCAAATTTTTGAACTATATTTTCTTTTATGTTTTTAATTCTATAATGTTTTTAAATACATCTGATGATAGAGTCTTATGAAAGTTCTATTGACTACTATGATTTTTAAATTTTCCATTATCTTTTATTTGAGAACTTATTTTAAAAAAAAAACATTGAAATTAATGTCTGGATTTTTATCAAAAAACCATACTTCAAATAAATAAGTTTTATAAATAATTTTACCTGTTCTTTTAATTCATTTAATTCTTTTTCATATTCTTCAACTTGAATGCTTAATTTTTCTTTTGTTCGACTAAGTTCTGTAATTTCTGATTTTTGACGATCCATTTCTTTTTGCATTCTTTGTTGCTCTTGTTTCTCATGAGCAGAAAGATCTCTCAGTCTATAAATATAATAAGATTTAATTACTATTATAAAAAATACCATAAAATTTTTATATAAATAAGTATGTCTTACTTTCCTCTCAAATTTTATTCTAAATTAAAAGTCATTTTACTCCTATTTTAGGAGTCAATTATTTTACATACAAGATTAAAAAAAAAAAAACAAACATTTAACTTAAAAGCAATTGTATATCTTTTATTACTTCTAAAATATTTTAATTTATGAACTTATGTAATTATAAACACATTCTAATAAAAAACATTAAAGCTCACATGTACAAAATAATAATACGAAATTCTATTTTGTATTCAAAATTTTCTTATTTTTATTGTAATTAATTATGAATCAAAAATTAAAAATTTATTTTTCATTGACATCTGATAATCCAAATTTTTATAGCTAATTAAAAAGTTTTGTATAAGATGTGCAATTTATTTTTATCACCATATTAAGTCATATACAATACAACACAACATTTAAGAAGATTTTGTCAATGCAATACTTTAATAATTGGCAAATTCTAATCCAGAGTAATTACTTTATCAAAATAAATTGTTTGTAAATAATAAAAACTGGAAAATTATATGAACTTTGAGATTTAGGCTTTATAGTCTGGCTCTAATATTTAGGTACAAAGTTAAATAATTTTTTGATTTCAACTCTAGATTTATACTTAAACAACTAAAAATTTATTAAAATATAATTCATAATTTTATACTTTAGTACAAATTTATCTATTAATGAAGTTTTTAGTTTATAATTAATTTTGAAAAAAAAAATTGTTAAAACTAATAGTGAAATTTGAATTTCCAACCCAACAAAACTATTTCTAAACAGTGACAAAAAATGTACTTATATTTTTTGAAACATTCTCAAAACAATAATACAAATTCAATTGTAAGGGACATTAACATTAACTAATATTGTTCAGAACACTGTATATATGAGTGATCAAATTTAAATAATTCTGTTCAGTACTATCTACTGCAGCAGTCACCAACTGGTGGTTCATGTACCACTAATGAGAAAATTTTGGTGGTCCATGGAGAAATTTTTGGACATTGATCAACTCAAGGTTATATGAAGTATTATGAAAGAAATGCAAAATACAAAGTTGTTTTTTCTAATTGGGAGTTTTTACTCAAATCTAAAACAAAACACAAATGACTGTTATCAATAAATTATAATGTTAATAAATCAATAAATAATATTGTGAGTGTAATTGTTGTCCTTTGTGGAAAAGAGCCAAGAATCCATAAACTTATTTCAAATAAGCAGCAACAAACTTCATACTAATTTGTTATAATTAAACAAGTGAATTTCATATTAATAAAGTAAAATGAAACTTTTGTGATCACTAATCTATAATGTTTGTATCATTTTTAAAAAATTCATGACAGTAGCCATGCAGGATTTAACATTGTGAATTAAGTGGTCTGAGATCAGAAAGGTTAACAACTGATATTCTAGAGATATTTAGCCATCCAAGTGCAACCAAACCTGGTGTGGTAACATTTTGGGACATGTGGAAGACATTTCAAAACAATATTAATAAACAAACTTACAACTATGGCACTTCTGGCACTGCAAACAATTACTTTATTATACAAAAATCATACTATACAAAGACCTAAGGTCTTTGTATAGTATGATTTTTGTATAATAAAGATGCAGAATATACTGCTCAATGTGGTCCTCATTATGAAAGTATAAAATCTGAAGGTGATGTAAGGTAAACAGTGTGTTCAATGGCTGACTGTAACTGAAAATGTCAATAAACCATGCTTTTTAATTATCTCTACAACCAAGATCAAATGGATAAAAATCCAGAGAACAAAGTATCATTTGGTCACTTTGTTCTCTGGATCAAAAATGTACAAATAATTTTTATCATCAATGAAATGTCATAGAAACTCCTCTATGCAAAATCTTGCTTGAAAATGGTTGTCTCAAGGTTGCTGATACAATTAGTATCCAACAAAAATTTTTTGGATCTTTCACTTGTCAGTATGTCTGGGCCATCAGAAACATGTCTTAAGTCAGTTAATATGAACTTCTTCAAAGAAGAATAGTACAGTAATAAATATAAAAAAAAAAACATAAGGATTTTCCGTGGCACAAATGTGATAGTTACAAGTGTTCATTGATCTAAGGCAGTGGTTCTCAAAGCGGGTGCCGCAAGAACGCCACAAGGGTGCCGCAAAATTTTTAAATAATTAAATTAAAATTACTTAAAATAATTGAATTAAAGTATTAAATTAAATAAATAATTAAAAGATACCTTTATAATAATAACTTTTGTTTTGAATGCTTTTGTGTTGTTTGGAAATAAACTTACTTTAATAAAAAACTTTTATTTTTTTCAAAGTCTTCTCATCCTTCATATCTTTACTAACCGTAAAAAGCAAAATAATAAATAATAATAATAGGGGTGCCGTGAATTTTGTTTAATAATTTCAAGTGTGCCACCTGACAAAAAAGTTTGAGAAACACTGATCTAAGGTAAAAATGTGCTCCACTGCTCCACAGAATCTTCCATGGCTACAATACATCCACTTCTATTCTGACAAGGAAGGTAAATTCAATGGTCAGTTGGTTTCCCTATTGGCATCAAGCAATTGATGGTTGTGGCTAATTTTATAAAGATAACAGGGCATCAACTTTCTCAGTGCCTTCCACATCAGCAGTGCATGTCCACTGTCACGTCACATTAGTTGGGGTATCCTGTGGAACCCAACTGATATAACACTGCACATGCACTATTGGAACCTACATTATTTGTTGACTGTTCAATAACAATTGTGGTAACATCTTCAATAACATGTGAAGTGATAGGCTTGTATTCTCAACTAACTCAATCTGGCTGAACTCCAGACATCCAGTTTCCTTTAATCAAGGAATCGCTCTTCAACAGGTTGTTAAATCAGTGGTCCTTGGCATAAATTCTTATAACAGTAAAATTCCAAAGTGTAGACAAACAATTTCCATTGTTTTCATAAAACAGTTTTACAAGAATGCATGTTCTGGTAAGGTGATGACCATCATATCTGATAAGAAAGGATATCGGTCTTGGTCACTTATACTCAAAACTTGGCTGCAAAATGTGTACTTGTGCAAAGAAAAACCACTTTTTCATTGCTGGCAAAGCCAAAAGTACCACAGGGGTGTTTTGGTGCAATTTTTTTTTAGAGAAGTATCTTCTGTATGTTCTGAAATGTCATATACAAGATTTGGTTGCATTTGGGCTGCTCAATATTTCTATAAACAATACTGAATAGGGATACTTTAATTATAATCACCTGGATATATATTTCAGACTAGCAAAAAGGCTAACAGTAACTGTTTTTTTAATTATCCCTTAAGCTGAGTCAAATGTATATTTAAAGTATAGAGTTTCTGCCAGGATGTCAAAAATTGGTAATACCAACTGACATTTGGAACTAAATGAAGTTGATGCTAATGAGAATTTGTTGCATTAAACAATGTTTGATACCTATTTTAAAAATGATTAATTACTTAAAATAAACAAGATCTTGCTTATTCCATATAAAATATTAAAATATTGATTAAATGAGAAAATATGAATATGGTTAAAAAATAAACTGTTTTCTGCAATTCAAATAAAATGTCAATTGTTTTATTATACTCATATGCTATATAACTATAGTTCTATTTCTATGAAAATTAGACTGGAGTGGATTATAAATTATGAGTGGATGAGTGGATATAAATTAAATTGTGACTAAATTGTTTTTAAATGTTTTAATAGCATTAAGTTTATTTCCAAAATAATAAATTATATTACCCACAATTAAATTATATATTAATAAATTGTTTTATTAAAGTAAAAACTGTAATAATTTTGATAAATAAAAATACTGTTTATAATAATATCAATTTTATATGTTATATCTGCTAATGAAATTATAATAGAGGCTTCATATTTACAAGAGTTAGATTCTGAGAAATTGCTACAAATATGGCAACAGCAAATTTGAAAAGGAAAACTACAATGAAAAATAAAGTTAGGATATTGAAAAAAATAAGTAATTATGAAATAAAAATGTTTTCATATAAAAAAATTGAGCTACCATATTTCTACTCTGTCACTTTTTCTTAAAGTATCTTATAGTAAATTCTTTTAAGATGAAAGCATGAGCAACCATAACTAGTTAATTTAGTCCTTGCAAACAATCTGTAAAATGCATTTTAATTTTGTCTTTTAGGGAAGTTATTTTTTTTAATCTTTTTGATTTTTTACCTTTAAAATACTTTGGTTAGATGACATTGTTAATAGATAAGGATTAAAAAAATAATAGCTAAAATTCTCTTGTAAAATACAATGCTCACATTTACAATGACTTCTACTGTATATAAACAATGTTTACTATCCACGTAAGTGTACATGCTAAAATAACGTGAGAAACTATAAAACTGTATCCACTAGTACCATGTAACAGTCAATGACATGAATTTTTATTCATGTCGTTCATGTCATAAAATGATTTTCAAATTAAAAAAAGATTAAAAATCATTTAACTGTCTAAGATTAACAATAATTTTTGTTACTCCTTCCATAAATAATCAAAGTTTGGTTATAAATATAAAAAACTGCAAATATCAAACCAAAAATAGGAACTTCTGTCCTAATGAGATGATTGCTATGAGATAGACAGTAGCAATCAGTTACAACAGAAGATGAATAAAAAAATTAGGTTTATTAATTAGGTAATAAAACTGAACTTATTTAATTAATAAGTACAGTTTCATTTGCACAGAACTACAATTCTCAAAAACCTCACATAAAATTAATGTAATAAAACTTTTTCAATAGTGTTATTCTAAAATTTACATCATCTTACTTCATCAAGGCCTCTTTCAATCTTTCATTTTGCTGTTCAAGTTGTTTAACTTCATAATGTGTAGCTGCACCTTCAGTACCTAATAGTTTTCATAATAAAACTATCAGTATATAGTAAAATTTAAAATAATAATTAGATCGTATATGATTATTANATTAAATAAATAATTAAAAGATACCTTTATAATAATAACTTTTGTTTTGAATGCTTTTGTGTTGTTTGGAAATAAACTTACTTTAATAAAAAACTTTTATTTTTTTCAAAGTCTTCTCATCCTTCATATCTTTACTAACCGTAAAAAGCAAAATAATAAAAAATAATAATAGGGGTGCCGTGAATTTTGTTTAATAATTTCAAGTGTGCCACCTGACAAAAAAGTTTGAGAAACACTGATCTAAGGTAAAAATGTGCTCCACTGCTCCACAGAATCTTCCATGGCTACAATACATCCACTTCTATTCTGACAAGGAAGGTAAATTCAATGGTCAGTTGGTTTCCCTATTGGCATCAAGCAATTGATGGTTGTGGCTAATTTTATAAAGATAACAGGGCATCAACTTTCTCAGTGCCTTCCACATCAGCAGTGCATGTCCACTGTCACGTCACATTAGTTGGGGTATCCTGTGGAACCCAACTGATATAACACTGCACATGCACTATTGGAACCTACATTATTTGTTGACTGTTCAATAACAATTGTGGTAACATCTTCAATAACATGTGAAGTGATAGGCTTGTATTCTCAACTAACTCAATCTGGCTGAACTCCAGACATCCAGTTTCCTTTAATCAAGGAATCGCTCTTCAACAGGTTGTTAAATCAGTGGTCCTTGGCATAAATTCTTATAACAGTAAAATTCCAAAGTGTAGACAAACAATTTCCATTGTTTTCATAAAACAGTTTTACAAGAATGCATGTTCTGGTAAGGTGATGACCATCATATCTGATAAGAAAGGATATCGGTCTTGGTCACTTATACTCAAAACTTGGCTGCAAAATGTGTACTTGTGCAAAGAAAAACCACTTTTTCATTGCTGGCAAAGCCAAAAGTACCACAGGGGTGTTTTGGTGCAATTTTTTTTTAGAGAAGTATCTTCTGTATGTTCTGAAATGTCATATACAAGATTTGATTGCATTTGGACTGCTCAATATTTATATAAACAATACTGAATAGTACTTTACAAACAAGTACTTTATAAACAATACTTTAATTATAATCATCTGGATATATATTTCAGACTAGAAAAAAGGCTAACAGTAACTGTTTTTTAATTATCCCTTAAGCTGAGTCAAATGTATATTTAAAGTATAGAGTTTCTGCCAGGATGTCAAAAATTGGTAATACCAACTGACATTTGGACTAAATGAAGTTGATGCTAATGAGAATTTGTTGCATTAAACAATATTTCATACCTATTTTAAAAATGATTAATTACTTAAACAAGATCTTGCTTATTCCATATAAAATACTAAAATATTGATTAAATGAGAAAATATGAATATGGTTAAAAAATAAACTGTTTTCTGCAATTCAAATAAAATGTCAATTGTTTTATTATACTCATATGCTATATAACTGTAGTTCTATTTCTAAGAAAATTAGACTGGAGTGGATTATAAACTATGAGTGGATGAGTGGATATAAATTAAATTGTGACTAGATTGTTTTTAAATGTTTTAATAGCATTAAGTTTATTTCCAAAATAATAAATTATATTACCCACAATTAAATTATATATTAATAAATTGTTTTATTAAAGTAAAAACTGTAATAATTTTGATAAATAAAAATACTGTTTATAATAATATCAATTTTATATGTTATATCTGCTAATGAAATTATAATAGAGGCTTCATATTTACAAGAGTTAGATTCTGAGAAATTGCTACAAATATGGCAACAGCAAATTTGAAAAGGAAAACTACAATGAAAAATAAAGTTAGGATATTGAAAAAAATAAGTAATTATGAAATAAAAATGTTTTCATATAAAAAAATTGAGCTACCATATTTCTACTCTGTCACTTTTTCTTAAAGTATCTTATAGTAAATTCTTTTAAGATGAAAGCATGAGCAACCATAACTAGTTAATTTAGTCCTTGTAAACAATCTGTAAAATGCATTTTAATTTTGTCTTTTAGGGAAGTTATTTTTTTTAATCTTTTTGATTTTTTACCTTTAAAATACTTTGGTTAGATGACATTGTTAATAGATAAGGATTAAAAAAATAATAGCTAAAATTCTCTTGTAAAATACAATGCTCACATTTACAATGACTTCTACTGTATATAAACAATGTTTACTATCCACGTAAGTGTACATGCTAAAATAACGTGAGAAACTATAAAACTGTATCCACTAGTACCATGTAACAGTCAATGACATGAATTTTTATTCATGTCGTTCATGTCATAAAATGATTTTCAAATTAAAAAAAGATTAAAAATCATTTAACTGTCTAAGATTAACAATAATTTTTGTTACTCCTTCCATAAATAATCAAATTTTGGTTATAAATATAAAAAACTGCAAATATCAAACNTTTGTGAGCTCTCTCTCTCGAACGCGCATTAGCATAGATTCAGTCCTAGTCTATAGCTTGTCGTATAATCGTTGTATTTGGTTATTTGTATTCGTTTGTTTAGATTTATTAAATTATACTTATGTTAATTATACAAAAATGTCTCTTAATTGGGTGTCCGAATCAGATCGTAAACGCGTGTTAATCCGCGCATTGAGAAATTGATTAACTGGTGTCGGGAACCTGACGAACATCTGAACTTCGCCGTTCAGATTATTTTAAAATACGCTCTCCTATGAAATAGATTAGGATCGGATCTTACGATTCGAAACCTTGGAGAACTAGTTTTACCAACTGGGGCTGATTAAGTGGTGCCAACGAATTAGTGTACCCCCGGCAGATCTCACACTTGTATTTTTAATTTTGGATAAAATATTTATTGAAACAACATTGAATAAATTATTATATTACTAAAATTAAGTTTAAAAAGTGTGGTGAAAAATTAAATATTCACTATAGTAGTGGAAAATAATTCTAAACATACATAAAGTCTTATAAATCATTCAACAAAATAGAAATTAATACCAGTAAGAAAATTTTTTGCAATGTCAAATAATATTTTTATATCACTAAATATTGTTATGAAATAGACAGAGAATTATGAGATAGACTTTATAACTACAAAAAACAAAAATAAAAATAAAAGGTCTTTAACTTAAATCAAATTAAAAATTACTTTTAAATTTTTAAAAGAAAAACTGATGATTAATATTGAAATATATCAAATTTCTTAAAAGTGATTAGATAGGTATATTTCCTTATTTATACATTTTATTTTACAATTAAAGCATAAAAGAGAAAAAAATATGACTAATCTTAATTCAAAAACAAGTAATTTTGATTCCAATTTACAAAATACTGAAATGAAATTAGAATGAAGCAAAATATCATATATGAAATTCTGATTTCTTATAAACTGTTTAAATATTATTTAAATTTTCATGCCTAATTTTTTAATTGATAATTACATTTCAGTATTTAAGAAAAATGTAAAAATAAACCTTTTAGTGTTCATGGAACAGAATAAATTTAAAGTAAATAAATAATTAAAAAAAATTACTTTTTCTTCAGCCATTTCTTTATCTAAAGTAGCAATTTCAGCTGCTTCTGCCAAATCAGACATTTCTTCTGCAAGCTCTTCAATTTTTTCTTTCATCTGTTCAATTTCTGCTTGTAAAGTTTCACACTATGATGGTTTAAATAATTAAATGCATATTAATAATAAAAAAAAAGTGGATAAAATTTGTTACTCTATTCAAATAACTGGAATATGATATCAGTTATAGAAACCTTTAACTCAGTATTTATTTTACTGTAAAATTAAAGAATATTTGTAATTTTTAAAACTAAGTGAAGTCTTTCAGCAACTATTTCAGTGACACACAAAACATCAAATTTAAGATGCCAAAATTTTTATGATTGAGTGGAATATTTTTTACTTTCTTGATCATGTCAGACTTAGAATAATTTGTTCATATATAGATCACATATAATCAAAACAATATTTAATTTTAATTTTTAAAACTAATCTTGAATATTATCACCTTATAATTATTTTCAATTATTGAAAAAATGCAAAAATTTTAAATAAAAATTTGTAAGTAATTTGAAAATCTAATATTTTCAAAATTATATATATATCTGTGATAATAGATAGACTAAATTATACAACAACAAAGTTAAAAACTTGTATTTTTAATTTTGGATAAAATATTTATTGAAACAACATTGAATTAATTATTATATTACTAAAATTAAGTTTAAAAAGTGTGCTGGAAAATTAAATATTCACTGTAGTAGTGGAAAATAATTCTAAACATACATAAAGTCTTATAAATCATTCAACAAAATAGAAATTAATACCAGTAAGAAAATTTTTTGCAATGTCAAATAATATTTTTATATCACTAAATATTGCTATGAAATAGACAGAGAATTATGAGATAGACTTTATAACTACAAAAAACAAAAATAAAAATAAAAGGTCTTTAACTTAAATCAAATTAAAAATTACTTTTAAATTTTTGAAAGAAAAACTGATGACTAATATTGAAATATATCAAATTTCTTAAAAGTGATTAGATAGGTATATTTCCTTATTTATACATTTTATTTTACAATTAGAGCATAAAAGAGAAAAAAATATGACTAATCTTAATTCAAAAACAAGTAATTTTGATTCCAATTTACAAAATACTGAAATGAAATTAGAATGAAGCAAAATATCATATATGAAATTCTGATTTCTTATAAACTGTTTAAATATTATTTAAATTTTCATGCCTAATTTTTTAATTGATAATTACATTTCAATATTTAAGAAAAATGTAAAAATAAACCTTTTAGTGTTCATGGAACAGAATAAATTTAAAGTAAATAAATAATTAAAAAAAATTACTTTTTCTTCAGCCATTTCTTTATCTAAAGTAGCAATTTCAGCTGCTTCTGCCAAATCAGACATTTCTTCTGCATGCTGTTCTTTTTCTTCAATAGCATCTTTTGCTTCCTGAATATAAATTAAATCATTAAGTTTTTAAAAATATATATAAAAATCTCAATTTCTGTTGTAGTTTTATTATTTATACAATGTATTAAATACACAATACTTTCTATTATTCATATTTTTATTCTGAACTTATTCAAATTTTAAAATATATAAACATCTCTAAGCCCACTAGTTACATTAAAGCTAAACAATCATTGGATTAAATTCGGCTACATAGCCTGATTTAATCCAGCAATTGTTTACTTTTAAAATATATAAAGGAATATAAAAAAAAATAGTTAATCAAAAAACAAAATATTTGATTGGCAATTATAAAATATAACATAAATACAAATTTTAAAGATTTAATTATTATATTCGAAATATTTTCTTCAACTCCAGACAAAATTTCAAATGAAATATTTAAATGTTAAATATTTGCAAATTTTATCTATTGTAAAAATCAATCCAAATGAAAACCTTAAAAATTATTATTTAAAGCAAAATACAAATTCTACACATAAAAATTTTTTTAATATATTAAAAAATTAAATATATTTTAAGTTTTTAAATAAAAATAGGTCTTTAACTTGAATCAAATATCATTATTGCTTAAATTGAAATCATATATTTCTTTATATTTTAACTATAATATTTAAATTTGAATTATATCCAAGACACTTCAAAATTGGTATTNACACTATTGCAGTCCACACACACACACAAAAATGAATATGAAAAATATTTTGAGAACCAGAAAAAGATGGCATTTCCTTCTGGGTTTGTTCCTTAATTTCCTCTATGAAATGAAAATGCCAACACTTACATTTTGGTTAGTCAAGGAAAGGAAAAACATCAGGTTAAATCTGGAGAATAAGGGAGAATGTAAAACAATTATTATTGAATTTTTGCTTAAATACTGATAAGCACTAAATGTAGTATAACATAAGTTGTCATAGTATAGCAAGTAGAACTGTTTGAAACATACTACCAGAATTAGAGAGCATTTTATTTTGTAAACATCTTATATTGAATGCAAGGCAATTTTGAAGCACAGTAATACTTATTTCTTGAATTTTGCTTGAAAAAATTAAAGTTGACAGTTGATCTGAATAACTATCATCATCAATAGAAATGCAACCTTCAAAGCATTTATGCCATTCAAATTGTTGTTATCCTAAAGACTTGTTCATATAACAAACAGCAGATTCAACTAATATTGTCATTTATTATGAGATGGCAGCCTAACCACCAGCCTCTAGCCCCACCTTTCCAACCTTCTTGGAACCGCAGAACACTTTCATGAGAAATAAATATGTGCAGAACCCCCAAGACAACTCTACTTTAATCTACTTCAGTCAAGTGTATTATATTGTTAAATTAAAAATTTTAATTATGTTAAATGGAGAAATAATTACTTTTTATTTCATTGAAACTGAATAGCTCCTTTATATGACCATTTTATACTTTATCTGTTATCTGTGAGTAATGTTTTCTTTTTATATCCTTATCCCCCAAGTGTTTGACTCTTACTAACAAGACTAATTCCATGTATATTTTTTGAAGTTAAAAGCACAAGAGACATTTAATACAATATACAACCTTGTAAAAGCACTTTATAGAACAATTTCTCAATTCACTGTGGAAACCAAGACATCCTCATAAAACACCAGTTAGAAAAGGTGGCTCTAGCCAAATTACTTTATAACGAATTATTATATTAGCCTTAATAAGCCCAACAAACACTCTGGAAGACATCTGGGAGATTTGTTCTTTGGGAGCTTGCTGTATCATTTTGTATGGGAGATTTTTACAAGTTTAACACAAGATTTTATCCATATACTCTGCTCTCAATGATTATCCATGATAAAGAAAAAATGCAATGCAGCTCTTGAAAACAAAAAAGAACTTAAGCTCCTACTTGTACAAAATCACATATAATATTATTATATTAGAACTTTGCACGTGTATAGTATATGATGTATATTTTCTGACAAACTTCTTAGTCTTGATTCTAGCAGTTACTTGTCAATAAATCAATCCAGGAACTTTTTAAATCCCCAATTAGTTTATGACATACATTACTTTTTCAACTGATATGTAAATATAATTATCTAAACATGATAGTATATTGACTATTTTAATAGGATAATAAAGTAATTCTATTTTGTAAAGATAATTCTAAAAAATTAAATTAAGTCATTTCTTTTATTATTATGTTATTAATGAACAAATTGAAATATGATCCAATAAAAATAAAAAGTAAAAAGTAATACCTTTTTTGCTAATACAAGCTGCCGTTGAAGTTCATTCTGAGATTCAGTAATTTTTGATTTAAATTCTAACAACTAAAAGAATTGAAAAGTTTTATATAAATTATTAGAATATTTACTGTATAATAAATAATATAAATTTAAAATTTAGTATTGTAATCAATAAATTTGTACCTGTTGTACTTGAATTTTTGTCTTTTCAAATTCTTTTAATTTTACTTTATCTTCAGAACGTTTTGCCATTATAGTCTGCAGTTTTTCATTCAAATCTTTTATTTCTGCTTTAAGATTTTCAATTTCTTGTTCCTTTTGTATTAAGGCAATTTTATCATCAAGACTATTTGCAACAGCTCCCATTGCTGATACTACTGCTGGTGTTGGTTTAAGGGAGTCAAACTAATATAGAAATAATTTATGAAGAATTTATTAAAATCAATTTTTGTAATATTTTCAAAAACAAAAACAAAAAAATTATATTGACTTTTTCTATAGCTGAATATTTGTTTACTTTACGAGTCCTAATTAACTGAGACTCATATCTGAGGTGAATTGTGAAAAATACTTCATAACAACAAAAAACAGAGCCATAAGTACAAGTACAGTATAGTTTGATTCACGTAATCTTGTTAGACATGGTGCTCAAATACTCGAAAAGGTTTAAAAAATAATTTATTCAGTTGACTTCATTAACTTCTCACAACAAAATGAGTTTTAAAAACAATATTTAAAACATGTTAAATCTAATCACAGATTTACATTTACTTTAATATATATATATATATACAGATGGATGTAAATAAAATTTATTTATTTATTTTACAATTTATAAGCTACTATGTTCAATAATTAAATTTTTTTAAAATTTAAAAATAAAATTTCTCTCTAATAAGTATTCAAAAAATGTTGCTCTCAATTAATTGAATCAAAATTTTAATTCTAAAATGCATATTTACATCTTCTGACTTGATCAGATGTAAATATGAACTTTTGAACTCTCTGGTCTGTTTATAAAATGCATAATACCAAGTAGACCTTAATTCTGAAATTTTGTTTGTTTCATTACGTACTCTTAGCAAGAAGTAGCGATCTTAATCATGTACACAATAAATTCTCTTCAATTTTTGTTTTCCATAATAGAACAAAATTGATGGAATAAGTTTTGTCTAACAAATATAGTGCAATTTAACAAATTCCATTAATATTTCAAATCTAAATTGTTTGTTGTTTACATAAACTGACCTAAATTGCTGCCACACTCATATTTTTTTTCTTTTAGCAAACAAATTTTTGATCATATCAACTTTTGTCAAGTTTCTGGCATCTGTTTTTTCATCAAGATAATTTTTTAACAACTTCCCTAATTTTTTATTGTTAAATTAATGAAAACAAAAAATTTAATATGCTAATATCAGTATAAGAGTGATAATTATCAAAGTAAAGATGGTTTCTACTAATGTTAAAAATTTTTTATGTATGTATAACTTTATTATTTTGAATAAAATATAAAAATTGGAAAAAATTACATATTTAAAAAATAATAAAGAATCTGAATTCAACAGTTTGTAAGTTTTCTATTAACTCAATATGAAATCATCAACAGTATTTATAGCATATAATAAAGCACCATTTATAAATTACTTTGATAATGATCAACTTTTCTAATATGATTTTAATTTAAAGAATATTTCATGTATATCAATGGCAAATAAATCCAATATAAAGAAAATATAAAAGTTCCATAAAGATATATAAATATATACTTAATAATTTACATAAGGAAGATTATGGCTGTCAAATTTACAATCTACAAAGCTAATATTTTCATAAAATTTTATTATTTTAATTGAAAACAATTTTACTAACTTCAATTAATGACCTCTGGGAATTTGAATTAGTTACTGGTGTAATTTTCACTTCACTGGGAGTTAAAAGTTTTCTCTCATGTGTCTTCTCTTCTAAAAAGTAAAAAGTCATTTAAGATTATATATATATGATAAATATCTACATTTTAATACATTTAATTAAAGATGCTTAAATAAGAAGGATACTAACTTTGAATAATAAATTAACAATTTAAATTTTATTCATCTATTTAAATATAATTATCTTAATGTCATATTTTCACACTACTAAATTTAGTTATAATAATGATAGTTTATAAGTTAATAATAAAAATTAATTTGTTTGTTGTCTTATATGTAATACCACTCTAGTGGCTTTAGAATATTTATCCTAATAACATCATTAAAATCTGATTATAAACAATATTCAAGAAATTTGGAAGAAAACAAGGAGCAGAATTTTAGGTAAAAGCATATTTTTTCCCCAGATTTCCTTTATAAAAAGTAACTTAAAAGCAAGGTTTTGTCCAACTCCTTGTACTTTAAGAGATGTAAGAACATATTTAATTAATAAAAATAAGGCTAAAAAAGGATATTGTATGATTGTGTTTTATTTAATCATTTTTTAAGCTGATGAGTTATATAAGTCATTATTGAGAAAAAACTGACAACAATTTTCAAAATAAAATATAAATCTGTATTTAGCTTGTCATTGCTTTAATTGAAATTATTGTGGCCTACATAATAAAATAATTACATATATAATGAATAGATATCAAATAAAAGCATATACATTATATAATGTATTATTTTAATTCTTTTACATGTTTCTATTGTATTTGAATGGAAATATTAAAAAGCATATTTTGCCAATTTTGATAGATTAAGGTGTATATTCCATATGTTTATATAGTTCTTCTCATTTATAACAAATCATTAACTGCAACCTATAAGCCGAATGCAGTCCTAATCATAAATTTCAGTTTTATATTTGTGGATTGCAAAAATATTTTAATTTCATAAATATAATTTTATGAAATTCATTATCAAATTTCTGTTAAGTGAAAAAAATAATAATAATTAGAATATTGAAATTGTTTGATAGTACCACATATTATTTTTGTATTTGTCCTGCAACATGGCATCAAGAAAATGAAACATAACAGGTGAAAAAAGCTTTGATAAAACAAACCAGACATCCAAAAATTAGTGTGTTGGAGAATTACACCCTAAAAATTTACATTGACAGAAGATAACAAGTACAACAAAATTTTATATAAATAAACTTTTCATAATTAGATAATATGAAAAAACATGTGAAGTACAGTAGAACTCTGATTATCCAAACACCAATTAACCAAATGTCATATCGTCTGAGCCAGCACTTGCCCTCCTTCCTCTCTTCCACTGATGTCATACTGCAATTCTCTTACATCAAGCAACTGTAACTTTCTTACATTTTGTGAGATAATAGAGGGCATTCCAAGTTTCTTAGTGTGTGGAAAACTGGTTGAGAAGTGATGATGATAATGGTGGTTTTCAAATTTTGAATGATCAAGAAATTGTAGAAAGCATGCAAGGAGAGGATGACATAGCAGAAGAAGAATTAGACAATTCTGGACCATACCATACGCACAAGTTATTGGTTAACTCTTAATCCTTGATTGTGAATACAGCGAATGCTAGTGATAAAATTGAAGTCATGCATTCAATTTTCAAAAATTAATAGTAACTAATAAACATTAAAATTGGAGTATGGACAATAGTCTTTTTCACAGTTTTAAATCAATTTCTCAGGCCAACAAGATTTGCAACAAAAATTTCAAAAGTGTACTTTTCTAACTTTAGTATTTGCCAAGATTTTGAAAGAAATTTTCACAGTAAATGTATCAATTTATTATTCTTTCCTCGAAATTTATTTTAAGCCACCACTGACTCATTTTGAGATAAAATGTGATCATTCTAAACTTCAATGTTCCAGTTATTCCAAAATTTTTATATAATATACTGTAATTATAAAGGTCACTTATACTTATGTATACTTATGATCCAATTTTGAATTAATTTTACAAGAATGTGTTCTTGTAAAATTAATTCAAAATTAGTCAGATTTATAAATGTAGAGATTTTTATAAAAAATTAAGGAATAAATCTTCAAAATTCAGTGCAGAAAACACAAAAATCTAAAGATCCAATGCAATGTAATAAAATCAAACACAATTTTACATTGAGAGAATTCTAGGAACAGTTTGATATCAAAACAGTTAGACAGATAAAAATGACAATGGTTATATGTTCTATACTACATATATTTTGCTCATAAATCAATTAATGGGTAAAAGTGGGTAAAAGTGGGTAAAAGTTTGTCAAATTTTATTTGACAAGCTTTCACTGATGCAATTTTCACCCATTGATAACCACAACATTAGCATATTGTATTTGAATAACACAGTTCACTTCATGCTAAAGATTTGATGATAAGAATCAGATGTGAACTACCTTATTTTATGGCATATAAGACACTTCCATTTCAGCACAAAATATTTAGAAAAAAGTATTTAATGTATTTAAGTCATCCCATGTCTGGCAATCTGCACCAATTTTTTTTTTACTGTTCTGATTAAAAAACAGTAAAATTAAATGCACATTTTTATTTATTAGGAAAAAAAGAGTTTAAAAGAAGTCATTTACCACTAAAATATTCTGCATAAAAACATGTAAAAGAACTTAGCTATAACCAACGTTAAATAATAATAATTTTATATAAAACAATAACATTTATATTCAAGAGTTGGGTTAGATAGAGGTAACCTGTAGTCTAATAAAGGATATTTGAGGAATTCATTAGCCTACGAGAGATTGCAACTTCACAAGAAGACACAGGGCACTTTTTGAGCCTTTTTTTGAACAAAAGTCTTATATACTGTAAAATATGGTATTTAATTTTGCAATTGCTATCCTAATTCTATCAAAGCTTATAAAATAGAATGATATTGGAAATAAAATGTAACCTATATATCCTTTACAGTACTATCCTGGATATACTCTGTATGTACTGTACAAAGTTTCATAGAAAATCAGTTTAGCCATTCCCATAATATTTGAAAAACAGACATACAGATAATAATTCAATTATATATATTAAAATTGCTGTTTTTATTAAAAGTTACATTAAATTCAAAATTAAATAAATATAAAATTAAACATAAATAAAATAACCAATTTTATTTTAAGGTAAAAAAAAGATTGCGATAATTTTAAGATACAATAATCTATTAAAATAATAATAATAAATTATCATTAATAAATACTACTAATAAAATTATTGCATTACAGAAATATTAAATCAAGTATATAAACTAAATTGTGTGTATTAAAAACGATCTATAGAACAAATAATAATAGTTTTAAAACCTTATCTGAATAAATTTAAATGTTTCTCCTGAATTTTATTGTGATGCTTTATAACTGAATCATAAGCTCTGACAAATCATTTCAAGAACATTCAGCATTATCAGGTACATTTTCAAATCAATTTAATAATAAAACTTAGAAATATATTCTTAATTTTAATAAATAAATTTTTTAGATTATACTTATGATATTAATATACATAAGTTAAACCTCTAATAATTTTTCTAAGAGAAGCATTTTAAAATTTATAACAAAATATATGATATGCTTATAGATGAAAAATATAGTATAAATATTAGAGAAAAATCTTTTCTGATACTAAAAATATAATTATGATTTAAATTTAAGTACATAATTTGTAAAAAGAATAAACAACAGAAAAGAACTGTATATAAATAGTAGAATATTTAAATTCTTAAGTGAGAAATTTATTGATTTTATTATTTAAACATTTGTGGAGTCTAACATTTATACTATAACATGAAATAAAGTAAAATTCTAAAAACTAATTATATTGATAATTCAATATTTAATAAAGTTATCTAATCATGCATCAAATCATTATATTCATTAATTGTCAATCTTCAAGAGTAATTTTCAGTTATATTATATCTAATTTTATTTTTTTTGTCATTTCAAATCATTCAAATATTTCACCAAGCTGTTTTTATTCAAATTGCCATAGTTATTCTACTGCAAATTTGTTGGTCTAACTGTTTATTTTTTTAAAGATTTATGTACTGTACATCTGATTTTAAATAAGCCTAACTATTTAAACTGGTTATGCTATATTTATTTTTTTTTGTTGAGAATATTGAGTAGACTATTTGCATCCTTCTTATTAGTCATATCACTTCATAAATTCTTCTCATAGAATCATTCTTTTTCTGCATATTCAATGAGTTTTTCTCCTCTAACTTCTTTGAAAGTTTTAGCTTCTTTCCATTTTATATCTTTCTCTTCTTCTAATCCTTCTTGGCTCAATATTTTATTTTCTTTTGCAGTTTTTACTTCCTTTGTATTGTCAAGTTTACAGTCCTTTTAGCGGCTCCAATGTATAAATTTCTATTTCCATTGTCCAAAAGTAGAATTTCATTAGTCCTGTCTTAAGGTAGGAACACACTACACATTTTCTGCTCAGAAACATTTATGGCAGAAAAACATGTTTCAGTCACTTTTCTGTTTTCTTTTCTCACACAATGATATGATATAACTTAAGATGACCAAACAACATATACAATGCATCTGTGTGTTCTTTTCCACTGCACTGTTTGAAAAATATGACATTTCCAGTGACATTTTGATGACATAAACAAGTGAATGATTGCTCTGGCTGGCTGGTGTCAGACACAGAAAAATACAACTAAATAAAACAAAAATTTTTAATCTCAACACTTTTTTTTATTTGCAGTTTCTTAGCATGACAAGAGTATTATTACTAATAAGAATATTATTTTTCTTCATAACAACTTTCTAGTAAGCTTCTCTATTTTTGATGAAAATCATTTCTCTAGCTTTTGATGTAATGCATAATGCTATTAAGTGTTCTCAATGTATATCCTACTGTACATATGACCCACAAAGATGATGTTACACAAAAAATTTCACTATCTTATTTTCTCTTTCATTGTCTGCTGATCTTTGTCATTTTCCTTATTAACCTTTTTATCTAATTCTTTAAACATTCTATCCTATTCCTTGTTCCAAACTAAGTGTAATAAATCTCATTTCCCTAGTCCTGGTTCCTGAAAATACTTAAACATGAAAGAGAGTACTGTATTTCTAAATAACTGTGAACTCCAAGAAAGTGAAGGTCAGCAAAGCAACAAAGTGTATTCACAATTAAATTGCTTCATTTAAAAACAAGTATAAAAACCAAAATAAATATTCAAATTCTAATTAATGTTTATTTTAAATGTATAAAATTTTAAATGTATAAAATGTCAAATGACATTTTATACATTTAAAATAGTTTGGTAACTTTACTAATTTTTTTTAAGTGAATGCCATCTGAATGTTTTGACTTTAACTCAATTCATTGATTATTCCACGGAATTATCTGATATTAGTTTTGTGCACTTGATCTACATATTTTTGAAATTATCAACAGTTTGAATTTCATTCATTAATATATAATAATAATAATAATTTGTAAGATTACTGTAACAAAAAAAAATTTGCTATAAAACATCAGTACTAGCAGTAATTATAATTTTTTTTATATTTCTCAAAACATTTGTTCAAGAATTTCTGAAGAAGTTTGAAATTTTTGACAAATTTCTAACTTATATTTGCCTATAAAGAACATGGCTTCAATAAACTAAATTTTTAATAAATAAAAATTCACCTGAACCTAATTGTTTTTCTTCTTCTACTATAGAAGTTGAAAGAGGCGTAACAGGTTCTTTAGTAATGGAAGTAACAGGAATAGGTGATGCAGGAATAGGTGATGAACTTTTCGTTTTAGTTGTTTCTTCCTCCTCAAGTACTTGCAACTAAAAAATAAAAAAATTGAGATTTTCCTTATTTAATACAAAACACAATTTTGATCTTGTTAAAGAATAATAAAAAAAATAAGTCTATAGCACCCACATTAAAATTAGAAACAAGATACCTATCTCAACATAAAAATTATCATTAAAATTTTACTAATTTCTAAATTAGTAACTAACACACACACACACACACACACACAAATATATATTTTGTTGTCTCACCCTTGCTCTTTCTCTGTCAATTGTACAAATTTACAGCAAAAGATACTAATGAGTTGTGAGGGCTCTGCAAAAATAAATTTCCTTGTTTAAAGTTTTCACTTTACCAAGGAGTTTGGAAAACACTGTTCTTAGATTCTTAGATGTTTCAATGTCTTAATTTTTTTAAATAAAAATATTGAAGAAATATGAAGAATACGAAGAAGATAAGCTATTGTCTCTAATTAAATGCGGTCCAGGCAAAAAAAGGTGGTTATTTCTGTAGGATTAACCCATAAAGTTTCATCAATTTTTTGAAGAAATATTTTTTTGAAAAATTGATTTTAAAAGGAAAAAAATGTATATTTTAAATTGTTAAGAACTTTTTTGTTCAGAATTATTAAGTAAATTTGTACTTGAAAATTATAATTTAAACATTTATAAAACTATCTACATTTAGAATAAATTTTACAAAAATTTTTTTATTTATTTTAAAAGACTACATAACATTTATAACTTTTAATTTATTTAATGCAGTGGAATTCAATGCTTATATATTTCACAAAAAAACTTCCATAGTAGAATCTATTTATTGTAATTACAGATATCATTATCATTCATTAATGCTATCAAAATTAATGTCTCAAAACTCATAAAACATTACTTATTGTAATCGGAAATTCAGCTACAGTTACTGTCATCTGGTAAACAGCATTCTAAACTGTTTTTTCACACCATCAACTTCAATTTATAGTCAAAATTGAAATTGTTATCAGTCTTAAAAATGCTTTAATTATTATTTGTATTTATTTATTTTATCTTGTATTTTATTGTGTTTTGCTTCAATTTTAAAAATGGTTCAGCTGGTTCAGCATTCTTATGATTTCTGTTCTACATTATTCCTGTTACATTTCTAAATTGTATAATTTAAAGTTTGTAATCTGAGGATAATCAAAAATAATTAAAATGTTAGTCATTAAAGTTTTTTTTTTAGTTTTGTTGCTGTAAAAAGATTTTGTGAGAATTAGTACTTTCCAAAACATTATGACAATACATACATATTGACCAAATTGCTATATCAAACAATATCAAATTATTTCATTGCACAAAAATATATATAAATACTTAAGGTTTTGCCTAGCCAACAAAAAAAAAATCTCTGTGTCATCAAGAATTCAAACATTTATTTTTGGATGCTTATAATAGCTTAAAAAGTTCTCAGAGAAGTTCTCAATATTAATCACACTTACTCTTTTTTATTAAAAATACAAATCTAGTACTGTTTACCTTTTATAAAAAAAATATGCTAAGTTTTGTAGCATACTATTTATTCCAACTGCTCACATTAAACCTGATATACAGGGTGTATCAGAACGACATTTTAAAAATTTGGGGGATCGTAGAGGATGAAATTTTGAACGTTTTGATATAAGGAACCCATAGCCGGAAATGTGATATAAAGTTTCTACAGCAGTAGGAAGTGCTTGACTGCCCTTCACTTTGGTAGCTACCCTTCCTTCCATTGATGTCATGTTATTGTTCTTGACTTCTTCCTCTGGGATTATGTAAAGTCCCTTGTGTACGCAACATCTGTAGGAACAGTTCATGAGCTTACAGAGTGCATCTTTACAGCATTTAATACAACCAGAGGGGAGCGTGGCATCTTACAGAGAGTCGGACAAAACATGGTTCGTCGTTGCACATTATGTAACAAAGTTGGTGGTCGTCACATTGAACATTTACTCTAAAGTAGTGCAGCCACTGATTTGATGTGCAGTTTGATTGTACTCTACTGTTTTGTCAATAAAACATGTCATAAATACTGTATTCTGCTGTTTCATTCAGCAGACTGACTGCAAAGTGCTGTAGAAACTTTATATCGCATTTCCGGCTATGGGTTCCTTATATCAAAACATTCAAAATTTCATCCTCAACAATCCCCCAAATTTTTAAAACATCATTCTGATACACCCTGTATATCCATATTTGTGATAAGACTACTGTTCTACCCATCTCTAGTGTATGTCCAATTTCAATTAAACAGTTAGGTAATCCTAATAAAGAAAACTAATCCATATCTGCACCAATGTATTTAATCTAACTGTATTTATTAATCTTCAAATCAAACTAACTTTCATTCAAAAATCTGTTATTCTAAGAATTGAGGTTAATATACAAGTCAAATCAAATTTTTTAAAAACCAAATATTAAACTCAAGTGAAATAAAAATTATGTAATAAAATGTTTACATTTAACATAAAATTTTTTAATATAATTAGCATTTACATAATTTTCTAATAGCACCATTTCAAAATTGTTGCAATATCTTCTTTCATTCATACCACATTGAATTTTGTAACTTTATGTTTTGCATATTTGTTATTACACAAGAGTCTATTGATATTTTGGAGCAATAAAAAGCATAATTACAATTAGTAATTCAAATTTATTCAAAACTAATTTCATAGCAGTAAAATTAAACTTTGGAATAAATTCTAACTTTTAGTCATTTGTTATTACACATGTGATGTAAACATCTTTTGCAGCACTTTAGACAAACTGGATCATTACATTTGATACATTTGTAGAAAAATTTTTGTCTTTGGAAGATGGACACTTAGAACAGGTCTTCCTCTTCTCAAGCTTGCCACTCAAAACTTGATCATCTCCAGCAGCAGTATTTTCATATTCCGGTATTGCCTTCCAAATCAATGTAATATTTCTGGGTAGATTAGGAATAGTGAACTGTCTTTTGATATGAAGGTCCAACAGAAAGCGTGCAAGGCATTTAATGAAATGGAATTTTTTGCTTACTGAATTTTCACACTGTGCAAATAAAGTAAGTGCTTGATGATTTACAAGTACTTGTTGATGGAATATCCATGATAAAGAGTTCAAAAATTGAGAAAAGCTTATCACGAAGCAACAAAAGTAGCAATTGAAAAGTATATAAAGTACAAATATGTAACATCCAGTCTTATATACCTTTGCATTCAATATATAATATGAAACACCCAATCAGTATGACCTTCACATTTTTTAAAAGCTATATGTATCTTGAAACAGTCACAAATTGAATAGTGTAAGCAAGTGGTTTATAATTAGGTACCATGGAAGGGAAAGACAAAGGTTGAATAGTTCTGCCACATTGTAGTATAATACCTAAACATAAACATTGGTAGTATAATACCTAAACATAAACATTGGTAGTATAATGTAACAGCAATGGTCTCAAAGACCATTGCTGTTACATTATACTACCAATGTTTCAATTTAGAGATCAAAAGCAATCTTAGTGGAACAAATGAAAATTTCACTCTTGGCACATGTTGTTAGAATACTTTCTTCTCATAAATATTGGTCAGCATTCATTGTATTGAATATTTCATCTCATAAATGGGAAATAGATAAAAGAAAACAGTCCATAAAGCATTCTAATACTTGAAAATAGAGGATGTCTGTATTATTAATTGTTTTAATTTGAATAATAATGTTAAAAAAATTATAAATAGTAATAATATAAAAATTAATGAGCAATTATTTATTGTGACATCATCACAATGCCAGACTGCAATTTTTAATCATATTTTTAATAATTTTTTAATTTAAAATGTATGCTTTCCACCTCAAATCGGTAGTGTCTTGCCCCTGTACTTCATACTTTTATGTCAGCAATAGAGTTGTGCTGATCATCTATTTAACTCCTTTCAGGGGAAAATTTTTGAATTGAAATAACATGACTTCTGACTTCTGGTTTGCACTGGAAGTATGTGTATAGTTAATCAGAACCCTAAGCTTTCCATATCTGGTCTCGGCTTTCATTTACCTAACTCTGTTCTCAAGAATAAGAAAAGACAGACAAATGGACTACAATAGGAATTTATAGGTCTACAAATTTTTCAAATTGCAGCCAAACAACTATACAAAATATCTGTAGCCAGCCTACCTATGACTTAAGTGCAATTTTTCTTGTCAATCAAAAAAATTTGGTATCACTGACTTAAGGTCTTGCAAAAGTAATACTCAGGCTTGAGGATTCTGTAGATGTTAAAAGATTGAAGACTGCTATAATAATGCTATAAAATCTAAAATTGATTTCAGAATTAACTTACTATTCTAGTAGCAACATTGAAAACTCATCAGCTGTCAGTGTAAATATCCATAAATAGATGAAAAAATGCAGATCTGAATGAAGTAATTGGAACCTTATCAGAGCTATAGACCAAGGGTGGGCAACCTTTTTTATAACATGGGCCAGAATAAATTTTACGTTTTTTCCGCGGGCCATAGTAGTTAATTGACACCTTGTGACCTGTAAATTTTTAGTCTGCAAATATGAAATAAATAAATAAATAAATAAAAAGAAATTAATTACTACAGTCGACCCCCCTATAACACTGTTGATTATTCCGTTTTATATGAATTCCATGTTGTATGAGTCACTTAGATTTTACAAATGCGTGTGCCGGGCTGTGAACGGCTCACCTATTTGTAAAATCTAAGTGACTTTAAACACAATAAAAACAGCACTATGTAGTTGGATACAACAGACATTACATTTTCTAATTGCATAGCTTTTGCACATAGATTTTCTTGATGGATGATGGGATGAGATATAAATAATTTAGAAAAATTCTGTTCTTCCATTTTTCGTTTGAATAAGGAAATGACTCCCTTATTTTTTCCTGTCATTGCTGCCGCAACACTTCAGAAAATAATATTCAATTTAAACTAGACGAATTACATAGAAAAATATTTATTAATAATTTCTTCTAAACCTCTCGCGGGCCGGACAGAAACTTTTCGCGGGCCGTAGCTGGCCCACGGGCCAGGGGTTGCCCACCGTTGCTATAGACCATACCTATAGATATAAAAAAAAATCAATGGAACCAATGGTCTACATGTGATAGGATGATTTTAAGGGGTTATATCTGGAATTTTGAAAATCTGAAAAATGGGATAAAATTTAAAAATGAAAACAAGTAAAATGGCAAAACCGTATTTGGGACAAGACTGTCTCAGAGACTCACTACTAAGCGGAATCACTTTGATGTTCAAGGCAGGTCTCGTTCTCATTCTCCTATCTTCTTTGATATCGCTGCCTTTGGGTGCGATCGTTCAAACTTCGCTGGCCACGACCACGAGATCATCCACGATGCATCTTCGATGAAATTAACCTATCTAATTTCAAAATTTCTCTCCGTTGTGTGTCGGCCTGGGCTGAATTTTTGTCGATGTGTAATGAAAAGTTCCCATTTTTGAAAAAAATAATCATGGCTATTGTATCATCCAAAATTATTTTATTTTGCACAAACAATATACAGTTTAATCTGATTATAATGTCATCAAATGTAACGACAACCCTAATATAACGTCAAATTTTTATCGGTTCTACGATTTTACTATACTAGATAATATTAAAAAAAACCCATTTGTAATGACATAAAACCATTTTAACATCATATTTGAAGCACTCTCAAAATTAGATTATAAATTTTATTTAACATAGAAGAAACTACGTATTCAGTCCTAAGGTCAGAGTTCACTTCTTAGAATGACTGTGGGTGGTACTCTCCCCCTACCTGACTTCGGTGGGGTGAGGTAGCTGTTCTGCCTGTTTGTAAAAGAGGGTTGCCATTTTGTATTTTATTTTGACTCAATTCTCGGTTCTCTGACTACCTACAAGTCTGGATTTTTTTATGCGCAAATGATTTGCGCATAAAAATATCAACTCTCGACATGTACTCCTTCATACCTCTATGCTGGTAAGAATATCAGGCAGTACGATTTTATAAACAAGACATAGTCTTGTCAAAAATCCAAAACTATTTCTCAGGACAATGTTAAAAATCAATTGTTTTCCACTTTACTAGAGGCAGCTAAAAGTTCAACATGAGAAATGCCATTATGCCAACTATGTTCAGGATACAATCATAGTAGTACAGTATGTTCCGTTAAGCCTATCACATATTTTATAGGCTGATTTTGAGGGATATTGTCTTAGAAAGGGTCACATATAAACCATTAGTTCTTTTCATTTTTTTTTTTTCTGTGGACATGGTTTACAAGTGTTTTTCAACTGGGGTCTATGCAACAACTCAGGGGAGCCAACAGGCAAAATTTAATTTTTGGGGAGCAATTTCTAGGAAGGACCCACAAGAATAAAATATTAAAATTTTATGAAAACAATTAAGCTTCAATAAGTAAATTATTAAAGAAACGTATATAAATTATCAAAACATAATGTTTAAATAAAATATAAAAGTATATTTAATAAGGAAATCTTAACCTAAAATGTTTTATTTATTATTAGACAAATACACACATTTTGTTTTTGTAAACAAAAGTCATGTCAAATCTTGCATGTGTATACAAAGCATTTTTTTAATGTTTACTATTATTTTTTAAGTGCATTTATTTTAATAGTCTAAATAGATGCTAGTTAAGGTAATACAGTAGTTAAGGTAATAGTAAGAGATATTAAAATGTAGTCCTAAACTGTAGTAGTTTTTAATAGTTTTTTGTTTTAGTTTTTTCTCATGCCACAGGTCAAAAACAGTTGCATCTACTGCTCTGATAAGGTCCCAGCCACCTCATTTATGAACTGCATTTGTACCAAAACTACCATACTACTACAAACTGATATGTTTATAAATAAAGTGACTATTAACAATATTTTTAATATTTTCATATACCATAAATATAAATCTAATATAAGCAAGATATTGAATAAAAGGAATTTCCAAAAATCTTTATTATACAATCCATTTTGTAAATACAAAAGATATGCCTGGAATTTATATTGTAAAAATATAAATTTGTTAAATTCTATAAAATATCTACAGATGAATTTATAATCTTACAACAGTAATCAGTCATTGAACGATGTGAAAGAATACAATATTATATATACACCATCTATCTGTATTAAAATTTAATTAAATATAAACAACACCTTAACACCAAAGTAGTTAATCACTTTACTAAACATTTTTCGTCTCTATTTATGTACCCTCGTCGAGTAAATGATGTTTGAATTTGGAACAACTTAATATTTAAAATTGACAACTGCCAGGTATCGAGATGTTTTTACTCATCCCGAGTTCTTTTTTTAATAGCGTATCTCCAAGCCGTCGTAAATCGCTCTACGTCTCCGGCGTTAACGCATTCATTTCTGAGTCTGTGTTTAAAAATTTTTTCTTTATTCGTGGCCATACAGGGCAAGTACATTTCATTAATGATTTTAGATTCGTCCCAAAGTCCCAAAGTGATTTTTTTTAAACACAAACTTAAAAATGAATGGGACGTTGAGCAATTTCCAACTGCACATTCATTTATCATGCTGAGAAACTACCAGTTGACCCCCTATAACACTGTTGATAATTTCGTGTTATATGAATTCCATGTTGTACGAGTCACTTAGATTTTACAAATAAGTGTGCCGGTCTGTGAACGGCTCAAGTATTTGTAAAATCTAAGTGACTCGTACAACATGGAATTCATATAAAACGGAATAATCAACAGTGTTATAGGGGGTCTACTGTATAATATAAATGAAAGCTATATTTACTTGTGTTTGCCTGACGAATATTCCATAGTTATCAGGACATTGGAAATACGATTTCCCTTGAACTGTGCCGTTGTTTTTTCCTCTTTTCTCGTCTAATATTACTCCAATCCATTTTCCAGACGAAAATTGAGTTGTGCCGATGTAAGCTACTTTTCCTTTAACACCTTTTCCTATTATTTCCACTCTGCATCCTACTCGAAGTTTTTCTGCCATTTTTCTTCTCTCCAGTTATATATTTGATATATACATTGAGTATTTATATATAAAAGACTAATATTAACTCTCTATTTTTTTCAGAAATACAGAAAATTCAGATATATGTCATACTCCTACTTAGAGACCCATAACAAGATGACGTCACCTCCGTCATTTCTTCGTACGAATCTTTCAGTTTTAATATCTATGAATTTGAAATATTTTTAATTAAATTTTATTGTAATCGGAAATTAATTAAAAATAACTAATTAAAAAAATTTGATAAATTAATTTCAATATAAATTTTTAAAAACGGTTACGTTAAATAAATTTACAAGATTTTTCCCGTTCTGAATATCGTAGTACAGTACAATAAACAAAGCTCTGAGGGATCCGGGTTCGAATCCGGACGGATCGATAAATCTTCAGAAATTTTTCGGGGGTGGTCCGTACGGATATGTCGGGCCTTTATGTCTGGATTTTATATTTTTATTTCACACGCTTCAGAGGCTTTTATGTCGAATGATTCAATCTGAAAGCCGAAATTCTATAAACGAAAAAGTTAGTTTTTACAACTTACGAGAAAAAGAAGAGTTAGACCAATTTTTGAGGTTAGAAGTTGTCTTGTTAAGAAGGACAAAATTATTGTTTGAACAGTTATTGAACATAGTGCCAGCATTCACGGTAGGTTTTCTTCACAAAATGTATTGAAAGAAATTTCAAGCCAACAGAATATGCTACAAGAAATGTTACAGACGGAAGCGTTGAAAAGCTTGATACCTGTTCATAGATGAAAATATGTTTCGTATAATACAGACTACGTCAAAACATAAATAAACCCTGAGGCAAGAGAACAGAAGCGATGCATTCGAAGATCTGCAACATTTCCGTTTAAACACGCGCCGCCATCCTGTAAGCCTAGAAGTTTGACAATAACGTTTGGGACGTCGAGCGTGATTCCACTGACGTTCTAAACGCCATTGTCAAACTTCTAGACTTACAGGAAGGCAACGCTGAACGTTCGACGTACACGTTTTCGCATTGAAAACGTCGGCCACAACCTCTCAAATATTTCAGGATGGGTTAAAGATTAACTTTTTCTGGCTCAACATTTATTACTTTCTATCTCATTAACACAATATCAAGTGCGAATAACATATACCATAGCTCTTTTCTCACCGCATCCTGCAATGATTCGCCTAATATTAATAATAATAATAATAATAATAAAAATATGGGCTTAAACTCGATAAATTATAAAGTCTATCCTAAATCCCTAAAAATTTTATTTTCAATACTTTCCTTGATATTCGAGTAAATTTTTTACGAAATTTCACGAAATTTATGAGACAGAAGACCTTATAAATAACTTGACATTGTGGTAATACACCAATATATTTTTTGTTATACAGTCGACCCCCCTATAATTACGGTCCCTATAATTACGATTCCTATAAAACTACGAAAAAATATACGTATTTTGGAAATGTTAAGTCGGATTAGTGTAGAATCGATTAATTTTATGGAAGAAAACCTTTCAATCAGCCGTAGTCCGTAAACTTGACACGTGTCGGGCTGTGA